TTAAGTACAGGTTAGGTACGGGTTAGGTACGGGTTAAGTATAGCTTGATTTTTTTTTTTCTGAAATACCTCGGGTTCTTGTATTGACCCGAAGAATTCTCAGGGTTTGGGTGCTCCAGGTATGTGTATATATATATGTGTGCCTAATTATATGTATATATATATATCTGTGTGTGTGTGTCTAATACAATAAATGAGCATGCGGACAAGGACTCGTCTAGAGTCTTGTATCCACCAAAAAATGCCACCGGCTCTACCCCAACAGCGCCTCAAATGCCTCGGACAATGGGGTGGTGACAGTGACGACTACTATGCAAGTGAGATCAGGTGAGTCAGCAATGTCAGCACAGCATGTCGTATGAACAAAAGCGGTTGGTCGTTGGAATGCCCAGGAAACAAAGGGAACTGTTCAGGCCACACCCCCAAGCAGCACAGCACTTGATTCGAGTCGCTGGTCGATGATTTCATTCACTTCCTAAGGAGAGCATCGTGGGGTTGTAAAAAGAATCCAGCAGCTAAAACATGTCAATGGATGTCAATGGCATCACTTTCAACAAACAAATCTCCAACATCAACCGGTTCTTCGTTAGCAACTCTTTTTTAAAAAATGGAACACAAACTGTGCAGGATGCAAACCATCCAACTTTCCAGCCACATGGATGCATCAATTTGTCACGATGATGGCTTTTCCTGAAGAAAATGTTGGTACCATTTTAGCTGCTTGACAAAAATAAGAGTTCAGGTCCATCTTGTACCGTAGTTACTGGTTGTTGAGTGCCCATCCCACCAGTGGAAAAAGGACAAGCAGCGGCTTCGTCCAGCTTGGTTTGCCTCAGGGTACACATGAAACACCGCTCACTTGGCGAATGGGCTGAAGGGTGTGCTGGAAAAGGACAAAGGTTCAAAAACTGAAATTGGAAAACTGGATAGTCCGGTCCAAAGGTCTTCCAATGTCTTCCATACAGGTCTTCCATACTCCTAGAATCTCCTCTCCACTGGTGTTTTGTGGCAGGTCCTTCATGCCGCCTGAGACCCGCGCGCCCCAGGCATCAAGGGACACACCTGAAGCGCAGCCTGGCAGACCGAAAGAATGGAAATGACAGCAGCTTGGATGAATCATAGGGCCAAAGGGGTCGGGCAACGTGATTGGTGTGGAAATTGATGGAAACGAAATATAGTACAATATCTATATAATAGAAAATTGATAGAAAACTAGTGGTGTTAGGTGGCAAAAATCAAAAACTGCCAGTCACCAATTTACTGGCCCCAGCTGCCCTCTTATGGGCCTTCCAGCATTCCATTGCCTTCTCTTTCTCCCCCAGCTCGTAGTGACCTGAGCGCGGCCGCAAAGTCTTGGAAAAGAACAGGATACCACTGCCACTGACTGAGGCCGCAGCATGTACCCATCCCCGTCAAACACCTGGGCGCTCAGCGGTGCCCCCGCAACACACAGAGCATTCGTCGTGGTTTTGTGATGCGCATGGCTGATGGGCAAGGCGCCAGTAGTGCAGAGGTCGGATCTCTAACGCCTGGACGAGCAGGCAAGCATCATACCATCCAAAAACAACTATTCGACTGTTGTTTATTTCTTGGGTGTTTGCTTGAACTATAGTGCATCAAAATCCAAACCAAAAAAAAATACCAAAACTGTAGACCTTCCGCTCTTACGAATCCTGCAGACCTTCCGCCAAGTACAACCCCGCCCATTTTCACCTAACCCGAAATGTTGATTTCCATACCTGTGACAATCAATTGTGTCACTTCGCTATGTCAGGAGTCCAATTCAAAGTGCAATTTTATGGAATTTCGTGAAGTTTCTATCAAATTCTATCAGTTCTTATAGGTTTTATTTTAACTTTCTCGGTTCCTCCCAGTTTCCAAGATTTCCCTGGTTCCAGATCCACCGCGCCTTGCGGCAGTCCTCCACGGCCTCCTTGAAGTTCTTCTGCGCGAAGTAGGCGATGGAGCGCTTGTGCCAAGCTTCTGCAAAGCCTGGGGCCTTCTCCAGGACCTCTGCCGGGTCCGGTGGGGAGGCCCAGTGGGAAGATGACCAAAACTGATTATTTAGATATGAAGATATATGGATACCAGTAGTGCCGCACAAGGCGGTGGCGGAAGTTTCAAAAGTAGGAAACCTATAGGCGAGGTTGGTTGTTGTGAATCACGGATGGCAGAGCGAATCCACTGATGGACCGACAGGTGGTTGGAGCTGCGTTTTTTGGAATGCTTGCAATGGTTGCAGCGGTCACCTTACCACAACTGCTGGATGTGTGGTGTAGCGCAGTTGTAGTTGCAGTTGTGGCTGTAGTGGAGTGGAGTTATAGTTGCAATACAGTGTAATTAGTGTAGTCGCAACTGCAGTTGCAGTTGTAGTTGTGGTGTGGTGTAATTAGTGTAGTGTATTGCTGTGTAATGTCGCGTAGTGTTGTGTAGTGTAGTGTGGTATAGCGTAAGGTAGCGTAGTTGTGGTTGTAGTGTAGTGCAGTGTAATTAGTGTAGTGTAGTGTCGTGTCGTGTAGTATGTGTAGTGTAGCCTAGTGTAATGTAATGTAGTGGTAGTTGTAGTTGTAGTTGCAGCTGCAGCTGCAGCTGTAGTTGTAGCGTAATGCAATGTAATCAGTGTGGTGAAAGCGCTGTGTAATGTAGTGTGGCTGTAGTTGTATTTGTACTTGTAGTACGCTGTAGTGTGTTGCAGTGTAATTAGTGTAGCGCAGTGTAGATGCAATTGTAGTTGTGGTTCTGGTAGTAGTTGCTGTTGCAGTTGTTAGTGTAATTTGTGTAGTGTAGCGTAATTAGATGTAATTAGTGTAGTGTAGTGTAATTAGTGTAGTGTAATGTAGCGTAGTATATTTGTATTTGTAGCTGTAGCAGTAGCGTAGCGTAGTTGTAGTTGTCTATCTGTCTATCTATCTATCTATCTAGCTATCTATCTATCTCTCTCTCTCTCTGTCTGTCTGTCTGTCTGTCCGTCTGTCTATCTGCAAGCTTGAAAACGGATCTATTTTGCGACACTTCCTCAGTTTTTGAACTTGACAACATCAAAAACGCGGAAATTGTGCGAGACTTCCCCAATTTTTGAACTTGGCAACATCAAAAACAAAACAATTCTGCGAGACTTCCTCCATTTTCGAAGTTGACAACATAAAAACGAAGTAATTCTGCGAGACTTCTTTCAAAAATAGAAACGTACCAATGCGGTTTGCGATTTTTCCACTCCACCTGTCTAAAGTACTGCGCCTGCCAGGAAAAAGTGATGCCAGGTCATACGAGGTGCTGCACCTGTCACGCAAAATCATCTTCCCAAAACTGACGATCTGATGCTCCAAAATGCAACCGGTCTCAGGAAATCAGCGCCCGGACCTCCTAACATCTCTGATGAACATGTCTCTTGTACTGCGCCTGCCACGGAAAATGTATCTTTGCAGATCCTCTTCAAATGCCCCACGCCTGCCATCGTTGTTGGAAATGCTGCAAAACCCTCACGTTTTGCTCACTTTTGACAAGGTGCACAATCCCTTGCGCCTGCCACGCAAAACGACGCTTCAACGTCCAAAAGTGGCGCGAACATGTGGTGCTTTGTACATTTTGACTTCGAAATGTGCTTCGTGCCACAACGGCGTGCACTTTTTCGACAGGCATCTCAACTTCTAAAAGTGCTCCGAAGCTGAGGTGTTTTGTACATGTTGACTTGGAAATGTGCTTCGCGCCACAACGGCGTAAACGTTTTGGACATCTCAACTTCTAAAAATGCTCCGGAGCTGAAGTGTTTTGTACATTTTGACTTGGAAATGTGCTTCGCCCACAATGGCGTGCAACTTTTTATTTTGTCATCTGACCACATGGCTCCGCACCCGCCGTTTTTTTTTCCCGCCGCTTTAGCGAGCCTACTTTTCGACCCTCCGGAGCCACAAATCATTGAAAAAAACACAGTGTTTCGCGACTTTCCTACCTTTTCGCGCACCTGGATGTTCTTTCTTCTGAGACTTTCTCCTTTTTGATCTTCTTTCTTCTTCTCTTCTCTTCTCTGGCTCTTCCCATCTCTGCTTTTCATCTGTCCATAATGTCGGAAGTTCGACTTCTAAACTTCCTTCGGGTATGGATAAATACATACATATATATATATATATGTGTGTGTGTGTATATGTATATGTTTATGTATATGTGTATATGCATATGTGTGTGTATGTGTGTGTATGTGTGTATGTATGTGTGTATGTGTGTATGTATGATCCCCTTGTGGTGCACCCAGATGGGGTTGAACCCCTGAAAAATAAAATGAAATCAAGGGCACCCAGGCTACTGACCCCCAAAATGCAAAAATGAAATCAGGGGAGTTCAACCCCACATGTTGCGCAAAGAGAAAATCATCAGTATTATCAGTCATCCAACTGAGGGGTTTGCAAAAATAAAATCAAGAGTTTCCAGAAATAAAATCAAGAAGGTTCCAAGCCAGCATCCAAAATGTTCCAGAAATAAAACTGAAGGGTTCAAGGTCAGCATCTGTGTTTGTGAAATCATCTGAAATCTCAACAAAATCTATCAAATATTGAATCCAAACATATCCAAACCCAGTTTTTAAATAAGTATTTCAAGCTTTGTAGAAGCAGAATGGTGTAATCAGGTAATCACAATCCATAGTTTTTTTCTTTTTTTGTGGCGTGTTCTGGCTGCATCCTTTTCTGCCCAAACAATAGTGACCACCAAACAAAGCATAGATTCAATATATTCCAACCATACTACCCAACAAAATTCTACAAGCTTGGGAACCTTGGATTTTATTTTCCCCCAAATCTATCAAATATTGAATCCAAACATATCCAAACCCAGCTTTTAAATATGTATTTCAAGCTTTGTAGAAGCAGAATGGTGTAATCAGGTAATCACAATCCATAGTTTTTTCTTTTTTGTGGCGTGATAGCCATTGTTTTCATCATGTCTTGTCCACCAATTCCAACACAAGAGGTGTGTTCCAACATGTTCCAACAAACAAAAAGGTAAGCAAAACGCAAAAATAAAACCAAAGGGACCCAACCTAAAGCTACTCCACCAGCTGCATTGGGGTTGGTTCTTGGTCTTGGCCCATGTCTCAAAAATAAAATCATAGGGGTCTGACTTACTCAAAACTTATGATAAGCACCTTTTGAAAAATAAATTTAAAAATATTTCCGCCTCAAGCCCCTTGATTTTATTTTTGAACACCGCTTAGGGATTATGTATGTATGTACGTACGTACGTACGTACGTAGGTATGTATGTATGTATGTATGTGTGTGTGTGTATGTATGTATGTATGTATGTGTGCATGCATGCATGCATGCATGCATGAGTGTATGTGTGTATGTGTGTATGTGTGTATGTGTGTATGTGTGTATGTGTGTATGTGTGTATGTGTGTATTTGTGTATGTGTGTATGTGTGTATGTGTGTATGTCTCTATGTATCTATGTATCTATGTATCTATGTATCTATGTATCTATGTATCTATGTATCTATGTATCTATGTATCTATGTATCTATGTATCTATGTATCTATGTATCTATGTATCTATGTATCTATGTATCTATGTATCTATGGATCTATGTATCTATGTATCTATGTATCTATGTATCTATGTATCTATGTATCTATGTATCTATGTATCTATGTATCTATGTATGTATGTATGTATGTATGTATGTGTATAAACACATATACATAGATATATATAATATAGATTCAGATATATGTAGATATATGATCTAGCAACCTAGTGACGAGACTGCATGCAAAATGTCTGGCATTGGTGCGCATTATAGCCAGTTGGATGTGATTCAATGACACGAGAAACATGAAAAAACAGTAACGGAAACAAACATAACCCCAATATTCTGCTCGATTTTGCTGCGTCATCATCTTAACACCTGGGGATGCTTCGGAACATGGGCGCCAATGGGTCCACCCAAAAATGTCATCCGCATTTGACCATCCCAAAATGGAGGTTAATGGGTCATAATGGGTCAAATACCTTTGATCCATATCATCCCATACTTCACAAAACGACATCATCCCCTGCTTCCCGTCAAAGCGGCTCCAGTGAAGATCTGCAGTGCTTCATCAACCTTTTGGTCGTCCAAGAGCTGTACGCCCTCCGCCATCTCGGCGTTCACCTGGGACTGTGGACACATGAGCAATCTTGAGCATTGTCGATCCAAGATGATCCAAGATCTTTCACCGGGTTACACCCAAAATGGCCAACTCAACTCCTGGTTTGGGTGCAAGGTCCTTGCCCTCCCAGAAAACCCGCACCTTCGCATCCCCGGAATCTTCCCAACAACTGCGCAGTGCATCTTCAATTGCCCCTTGCAGTTCACCTGGCAGCATCAAGGAGTGGCATGCTGGCTCATCACACCGGGTAGAACCAGAAGGCCATCACCAAGCTCTATCACCTACAGTAAGATCTCCAAGATTCACCAGAAAGGGCTGCAAGGCCCAAGTTCTATCAGGCCTTCTCCATTTTCGGCCACCGCCAGAAGAGCTGCATGCAGGGCATTCTCTGCTTCCATTACCGGCACAGGTGGCGTGGCCAGCCTGCCCAAAATCTCATCAATGTTGGCACCCTCAAAGGCCTGCACATTTCTATACAAAGTCAATCACATGTTTACACATGTTCATCCTTTCCCAAGCCAACTGTCAATGGACTTGACTTTGTGTCATTGTACGAAAATCATAAAATCAGCAGGAAACCATTGATTTTACCGCCAAATATGGTTCCTGCAGATTTCCCCTCCAATTCGAGGTAAAACCTTAATAACCTTCTTTTCCCGTCCCAGTCCCAGCCTGCCAAGGCGAGTCACTGCCGCCAAGCGCGCCCAGTAGGGCCGGCTTGAGGAGATGATGCCTGAACCATATGTTTTTGGTGCTAGCGGTACCTTGATGGGGCTATCAGACGATCATTGGGTATTACTGCCTGCTAGCGGTTTGCCTGAGAATTGCTTGGGCCTGACGTGGCCGCAGTTGTATGGGGGAGGGGCCTGAGACTGTTTCAAGGGAAGCGCACTACGAAGTCTGAGTCTCAATAGCACCAGGTCCTGATTTAGCCGCGATGCTTTTTAGAGAGCGCTGGACAGTGCGGCGTTGGCCTTGGGCAGTTCAGGTTTTGGGACTTCTGAGAAATGCAACTTTTCCATGCCCTAGGTTCCAAAACACACCCAACTTTTGCCAAGTTCAGGATGTTTGCCTTGGAAGATGGCTAGCAGCTACTCAGCCCCCCCCCACAAAAAAAAAAACACCCTTCACACCAATTTCCATCCGTTAACCATCCTACCTACCGTTGGCGTCCATTGACATCCATGGACAGTTATTTGCCATTCAATATATAACAAGCAATCATTAAGAAAGTCCTTACATAAGCCTTAGATCTCACCACATAAACAACTTACCCATCAAATTCACATTGGCTATGAGTCAAAAGCCTGGCACCCTAGGTACCCTAAATTAGCTGGTTAATGGATGGTTATTCCCCCAAATATGGTAAGTTCATAGGTTTTGACCCATCAAATTTTCATGATTTTCCAAGTGACACATGTGCCCCCGCACTGGTTCCGCCAGCTGCAGCGTCTCCTCCGCCTCCGCCAACGTCGTCGCCGCCAACGGCTCCGCCGTGGCTACGACGGCCTCGCCCAGCGCCGCCTCGGCGTTGGAGGCGGGGACGCCGGACCTCGGCACCGGTGGGAGGGGCAGGAAGAACTGGTGGGGAAACAAGATCAACCGAAAATAATCAAAAATGATGGGAAAAATGACCAGCCAGCAAAGGTGGTAAGTAGGAAAGAGCGACAGCAATGACAGCAGACAGTGACCCACTATAATAATAATATATATATACGTATATATACATATATATATATATACATCAAGTTTCAACCTTGGAAACAAGCACCTAAATTTCCAGAACCATCCGGAACCAATCCCAAAACCCACACCCATACCAGAAGCAACGCATCAGGACCCCCCGGCCACCACAGAATAACCTCCGGAACATCCCAGAACCAGACCGGAACGGGCACCCGAAAGCTGCACCGAACCTTTATCTCTCAGACCCCTAAGCTAGCGCTGTTAGGGGAAAAAGGACCGCAAGTGAGGCTTGAAGTGTATAATATATACAATTCATAGTCTCAAATTGGGAAACCACGCACAAATCTGTTGATTTCAAGAACAGGGATATCAGGATTTCGGCAACAAAAAATGATGGTTTCCACAACTCTCTCCCGCCTGGGATTCCCATGTTCAAGAAGAAAGAATCAACTGAAAGAATTTGCAGCCAGCATCGGCCAGCCATATTTATTTACCACAGGATAACCCCTGCGCCATCGCCTCTTTCAAGCGAAACCGGATTCTGTCTGGGCCAGTAACTGGGGTGTAATTAAGTAGTATAGTTGCCCATGTTTGAATGTCTCTGATTGTCTTTCCACTATTTTGAGAACTTCGCTAACTCATTGTCAACGTGCCTTCTGGGATGGTCACTAAAGTGGTTGGTGGGTCCCCATGGTCGCGACGCCATCGAGCCGCTGCAGAAGCACATCCTTGACCGAATCGGCATCCAGGCCCAACTGCAAGCGGCTGTAGTGCAAGTTGACACCAAAGCGAATGATTTTACTTCGGCCTGGTGCCGCACAGGGCTAGTAAAGGTGGTATTCAACTTCACCCACCTTGAGCTCATGTTTGAAGACCTTAATTCACGGAGCATTTTCCTATCCCTGTCGAACTAAGCACTTCATAGTAAAGACATCCTGCATTCCTCAGTTTAACTCACTGCTCGCCCTTTGAGTACAGTATTACGGTATGGGACAAAAAATGGGCAGCCTAGAAATTACATGCTTCATAAGCTCATACCACAAAACCAACATCTGTGGAACCTGTGGTCGCAAGGCCTCAAATTTTGATAACGCGTCTGTCACCGAACCCCAACTCGCCCAGAAAATCGCCTGCTGGATCTGCCGGAATGGCTTCTACTATGCCACCTGCGCACGGCAAACACGGGCCCTTCAATGGCCAAGTTAGGACAGCTTCAATGCTTCATTCTTCACAAGCATCGCCCTTGTTAGCCAGCAAATATTTGAATCCTTGCCGGCCCTGACTCTAATATTTTGCCTTCGGTCCCACTTCCCATCCACTAACCCCACGAAATTCATGGGATCACAGGGAGTTTCTCCGACATGAATGCCCATCCTCATCCCATCCCCGCAGCCCACCCACGATCTGCTCAAAGTCTGTGGAGAAATACATCTGATAGACCCATCGCTGATCGCCCTGCCAGGAGCTAGGCGACCAGTCGATGGTGCCTCGGAAAATGCGCTTCTCCTGGCACAAAATGCTGGGCCATTTGCACAGCGGCACTAATCTCACTGCAAAATTGCATGATCACAGTGATCATAAGAATGATATCACCACAATTGTAGAATAAATATTCTATTTATATATATATACAAAATCTCTCTCTCTCTCTCTCTGTCCCTGACTGGGCTTCTCTACCAATTGAATGGGGTGTTCTAACATAACGCAGTTGGCAGTTCTCACCCAGAGGTTCAAGCTGTGCAAGCTGCATCTCTCCTGATCAAAGGAAGCATCCAGAAACTCCTTCCTCTGTGGAGGCTGGCTGCCATCATCCAAAGGACTGAAGGATTTGCTCATGGCACTCTCATAGGAGATGAAAGACCCCTGGCAACCACACAGATCATGGCAGATCTTGGCAAATTATGATCTTGAATTAGGGATCAACCCAGGGATCAACATAAATCAACATGGATCATCCTGAAATGTGAGATCAGTTCAGGGTTTTCTGGAGACTGCTGGGCTGCTCAAAAACATAAGCAGGCCTGAAGGAATTATTCCCAGAATGCATTTGAAGGAAAAAGTTGCTGGAAATCACCATGTCTGACTGTATGATGTCAAAATTCCAAGTTTCCCGGAATGTGCTGGTGAACCAACCCAGTACCATGGTGCATTGACAAGTTCCCAACCTCTTGATGAAAATGGTAAGAAGCAAAGCCCAAGCCGCCACCATCCTGGACATAGACCTGTCCTTAGCTTCGAGGAGCTAATCTTCTGGGTGGTGATTGTTAGGTAGGCTATGGTAGGCTGATAAACCAAACATGGGTGTCGAAGCAAGTTTCAGTTTATCGAGTTTATCGTGATTCATGTGCTTCCGAGCCTCCAAAGATGGTGCCGGGTCCAGTGGAATCCTGCGAAACCTGCATCCGGGACAGATCCCGATCTGAAAGCAGCTGCACGTGGGCCTTGTAGAGGGGATCCCCTTGCTTCATCGACTCACTGCGCACAGAGAGGATACGAAAACCTCGCTGAGCTGCAGGCAGAAAACAAACATTTTCTGAAGTGGTCACACTAACACCAGCTATCACCGGGGTGATTTAAAGAAGAAAGACCGTGGAGTGATCTTCACAACACGTAAACTAATTGGGGCATTTGTCCAAAAACATCCTGGAATGTTACCATTGAAATCGAGCCTGCCAATTCTGGGGCGCTAGGCAATGTCTGGTGAAGCTACACTGCACCTCCCCCCGGCCATTTTCGCCAGAACACGCCGCAACCCCCGCGCGAAAAACACCACTGGGCCATCAGAGCCCGACCAGCGGAAGTCACGAGCCGCCACCAGCATGCCTTTCGAAACACGTGTCATGTGGTCCCCAAGGGTTGTACTCATATCAAATTTCAAAGGCACCGGAATTTCTCTGAAATTTCATGTAAATCGTAAAATATTCAGCGAAATATCAAATTCAAAAGTTTCCCAAGGTGTCTTTGCTTTCTGAGCACATTTTGGGATCTGGCAATTTCAACAAGCTGTGAACTGCCTCGGCCACCCTTTCTGCGCTGCACGACTTGGGTGTAGCCGAACTTTCCATCGCCCTTCGGGGGAGCAATGCGTCTCGCTAGCTCCACATATCGAGGTTCAAAGAAGTTCAACGGCAACTCTGGGAGCTCCTAAAGGTCAGGGCAGTTCAAGCCCTACATCCAGTCTAGTTAGTAACATTATATAATTATATACATATAATTATATATATTATGTGACTCCACATTCTGAAATTCACTGCATCCGCGCACGGCCCTTTCTCTGGTGCAACGGGCCTGGGAAATGTGATGTTGTTCTCTCGCTCTCTCTCTCTCTCTCTCTGCTATTTGATCTATTTTGATGGCGATTTATTTTCTACCAGCCGGAATGAAGCTGATGGGAATGTGGATGCTGATGTCAGCAATGTACAAATGGTTGCATCTTGCTCATCTTGCTTACTTGATATGGCTGGTGGATGTTGATGGGGGGATTTGCATGCGGCGTACATTGTTTTTGGGAGAGATCTCCGGTGAAGGATCCACAGTCTGATTGCCCTTAGCCCCTCCCCAGCAATCCCACCAACTTATCCGAAACTTGGTGGCACCCCAGATCCCCTTGACCACCCAACGGTTTCCAAACCTTCCCCCTCTATCTATCTCTATCCGTATCCCAAATCCCAGCCCCCATCCATCAGCCCCCAAGCGCTCCGTATCAGCGAGGTCCCGGAAGGACTGCGACAGGCTGAAGATCGGCAGATCTTTGATCCGCAGACTGCGCCGCGCCAAGCGAGCCATGGCGTCAGGGTGGAGCCATGGCCCGACGCTTCAATGGGAGGAACCCTTTGGTGACTAAAGGCACCCTAAAGGCACCCAAATGGGCCAAATGGGTCTTGGAATGTCTTGGATTTGCCTAGTATCAATGTTGAATTTTGGTAAAGAAGGACGGGTTCTACGATCGGAAGAGAACCATGAAACCAATTGGTCTTCTTAGCGTCAGTCCAATGGCAACTTTTCTGCAGTTGGTGCAGGGTTGGTTGGCAGCTGGTCCTGCCAGCTGACTAAACTCAAGTCCACTCCAGGTTCACGTTGCAGTCTGCTTGGTGTCCGGAGCTCTCATTCCGTTCTGTTTGGTGAAACAGCACGCAGCTGAGCAATTTTTGAATCACTGGGCTGGTAGGCTGCGAGTCCGTGTGGCACTGGCTTGGGTCATTTCCTCCTGATCATGTTGTGGTTTCAGCTGTCTTCTTGAGCCGAAATCCAGAGAAGATATGAAAAGATGTGAAAAGATATGAAAAGATAGGTGGGACCCTCTGACTTTTGAACCCTTCTATCTTTGCGCATGCATAAAAGCACAAGTCTCCTGATGTGGCCCGAAACTGGTATTGTGCGCACAACTTCTGATCCAGCAAGCAGCATGTTCAAGCAGTTTTTTTCCCGTCCGGAGTGATGCCGTTCAAGGACTGCTCTCCTGGCACATGCAGCTTGCAGAACCCAACAAGCTTCATGAGTGGCTGCCACTCAGGAGAAAATCAGCAACTCAACAACCCAAGGCACCTTGATGGCACAAGAAACCTTCTGGCATAGGTGCGAGATCAGCGCTCTGGCGGCTTCGGGCCTTTGCCGACCGGGACCACTGCAGGGCTGCTGACATCATTTCAAGTTCCGCAAGGCCGCAAAACAAACCTATGTATATATATATATATATACGTATGTATGTATGTGTATATATATATACATATACATTATTTTAAAAAATATTGAGTGGGTTGTCTCAATGCAAAGCCCTGTTGCGTTCACGGTGGAAATTTCCAATTTGTTGGAAGGGCAATCGTCTTTATGTCCAAGCTGTTTCCAACTCAATTATGTGCCTTCTGACCACTCCATGGGTCTATAAGGTCCCCTAATTCCATCCATCTTCCATTTCGTCTTTTGCAAACAATGCTCGCTCTCCTTTTGCTTCTTCAGACTTTGCTGGCTCTAGCCTCCGACCACCCGTGACCAACTTCCAGGAATGCCCAACAATAGGCTATCCGGGCTGAGCACTTTGACTCCGATTGACCGCAGGTGTAAACAGCATCTCACATACCAGGGCCATCAGGGTTTTCATTCGGAATGAGCTTTCCTTCATTGAAGTCAACAAGCATCTTGTTGATCTTTTTGATGTGGTCCTCGAGGTCGGCGGCTGACCTGAGATTCGAAGCTGTTTTCGTTTTCGCACGTTTTAATAAATCTGCGAGAAGTCAGATGTCATGTACGCAGACATCCAAAACCGCACTCATGAGAATCTAATACAAGAAAGCTCTTCCCGCTTGCTGCTGTGGGAGTTTACTCATTTCATAAATCTAAGTGGTTCAATTTAAAGTCTCTTTTTGCTGTGTTTTGACTGTCCCTACGTCCTGCCACAGTTTCGTGCATCTTTAAACGACGTCTTTCAGCACAGCCTCTGTACATTTGCGCATAATGATTGATAATGTACCAGCCAAGGGGTGACTCACCCCACAACCCGTAACTTACCTCGCGTCTTGGCACACTGTCTACATCCCAACCCAAGAAACCTTCACCCGAACGAGACATTGGGCAAAGATGTAATTACATGGTAACAAGTGAGGTTGGAAGGTGGTTCCTGTAGAGCTGCTGTTCAAACTATCATGAACCACCTGCCCCTCTGAGACCTTTGGAACATGATGAAACATGCACCTTCATGCTGAGTGACTTTTGAGCCGTATGGATATTGGTGACTGTTTCCGTGACACTCCTCCAAAGCTCGTCTCCGATGCCGATGTGATCGCCCGGCATCGTAGGTTCCGTAGGTTCCGTAGGTTCCGTCTGAGCCAAGGAGTCAAAGGTCTGCCTTCGAGCCCAACAGGAAAAGAATAGGCCATGGGTCAAACCCTACGGCACTCGCTTTGGGATGATTTTACGTATCACCTATTATGGTCTATCTTGGAAGGTACTTGATCCATGTGGATCCATGTGGCCCATGCCCATACCCATCAAACTGGAACCGTTTGCATCTATGTTTTTTTGCCAAGGCTGCATTCTTTAGGGGGTAGTTGTCCTGAAGCAAATGGTGACACTGCTCAAACCTGCGTCAAAACCACCTGTGCACCTGATACCTTCATTCATGACGAGCAAGCTATCAGAAACAAGCTTAGCAGAACGATTGCAGACAAGGGGCTTCTGCAGTTTCAATGGAACCGGGTTCTTGCTCATAAGTGTTCCGCAGGCAGCCACCAGCTGGCCGTTCGCGTTCAATTTCTTGAAGACCATGCCCATCTCCTGATCCATGTAGCCTTAGCAGAAGCAGCAGCAGCAGCAGCAGTAGTAGCAATTGAAACAGTCACAACAGTAGTAGCGGAAATGGAGTTGTAGCAGTACTAGTACTACTACTACTACTACTGCTGCTACTACTACTACTACCACTACTACCACTACTACCACTACTACTACTACTGCTACTACTGCTACTACTGCTACTACTGCTACTACTGCTACTACTGCTACTACTACTACTGCTGCTGGTACTACTACTACTCCTCCTCCTGGTGGTGGTGGTGGGCGGCGGCGGCGGCGGGGCAGCAGCAGCAGCAGCAGCAGCTGTCGTCACAGTCGTAGCAGTGATGCTACAAGCAAGAGTATAGTAGCAGGTGTAATAGCGAAAGAAATAGAAAAAAAAACAACGGTTAAAAAGTGATAAAGAAGCAATAGCAAAAGTAATCAAGTAATCGTATACCCCTTCAAACTGCACTACAGTAAGGGAAAAAGCATGTTGGACGTATAAAATAGATTTGTGTATGATATCCTAGTGGCCAACCTTTCCTTAAACACTTCAACTCCATGCGGTTCGACTGGTTCAGCAAGACACCAAAACAGGATAAAAACAGGTTGATTTTCCTGATGGTCCCACCTACTCTACTGCGGAACCAATATTAGGAGGGGGATGCAACAGGAATTCGGTCAACTCTCCCACGAGAAAGTAAGTAGTCACGTAATATCCATACAGTTCAAGCTGCCCAGAAACAAGTTTAAAGTACCGGAGTTACTGGAACATAAAAGCAAATGCAAAACGACACGCAACAAGAAAGGGATAATTCTGGCAAGTATCTTATCCACTTCTTTACCATTTTTTCTCTTGGCTGCTGATCCCCTTTGGCGTGGTGCTCTCGTGAGGACATATCAACATCTTGCACCAGTTCAACGTAGTCCTGGACTTTTAGGCCTGAGTCGTGCTCGACCTGCTTCACCTGTTCTTGAACTTCTACCTCGAGCTCAAGACTTCGATTCCAGAGAGCCATGATAGCGTTCTGCTGAACACTGATGTTTTTCATGAGGCTCTTGTAGTTGGAAACCGAGATGTCTGAGCGCGGCTTGTGTCCATAGTAGTCCTCGTGCCATTCCATCAGCTCCTCCTCCGAGCCCCTCACATGGCGCTGAAGGGCATTCACCGCCAGCCTGGCGAAGCACACTGATCATCAGCATCAAGTGCCTGGGGGATCTCATCCGCACTCGTTCCAGCCAGGCAAAAGGTGAGGAAACAGGCAAAGAGTGCCGTCATGGCAAAAGATTGGAGCGAAGCAAGATGCGAGCACTCTGTTTGCTCTCCAAGGTAACACTGTCGTCAAGAAATTAGAGTCTAGAGCTCGAGCACGTGTTCAGGAGACAGCTTGTGACTAGTCAATCCTGAAAGATTTTTGACAGTGGTAGTGTCTGTGAAAGGCATCCCAAACTTCCAAAACATTTTGGTGTGGGCGAAACAGTTGTAAAAAAAACGAACTTGATTGAAAATCGAAATTTTGTCCGGGGGAGAAGGTCTGTCTAACAGCACCTGTTTGCAGGCACAACATGGCCCAACAGTCTGTCTTTTCTCAACCTGTGACATCATTCAGCCAAGGCGCCAGTTTCAGATAGTTTCAGCCATGGGCCAAGGGCAGGGGTAAACGGTGTTGACGGTGTTGCAGTGTTGCTCAATTTGTTGTGGAAATTCAAATGTGTTGAGGATTCTTTCACATGGATTTATCCAACTCGAATTATCAAACGATTGCTTGACCATGTTGAACAAGAACAAGTTCGACATTGAGCTATGTTGCTACTTGTTCTACTGTTTTGCCAAGGGATGTGGAAAACTCGCGGACATATGTTGTTAAGCTTTGGATGAGTGAATCCATGGGAAACCTCAATGCTGCTTTTTTTGGCAGTGGCCTTCATTCAATGTAACACCAATTCATACCAATTCAAGGAGTGGATCCTCTGTTTTCCGAGCGGATGCTACTCTTGCGGTGTTTGGTCTGCTAGTTTAGTCGCTGGGAAGCTGTGAGTTCGGCTTCAGCCACAGTGTTCTTTTCACTTTCATCTTGAATCCCAGGAAAAAAACCGGGACTCTCGTTTTTTAACCATGCTGTGAGGGTGCAAAGGCACGCAAGTATCCTGATATGATATGGCCTTGCGCACAGCTTCTGATTCAGCAAGCAGCATATCCCAGCCGTCTCTTTTCCCGTCATGGATCATGCCGTTCAAGCATCGGTCCCCTGTCACATGCAGTTTGCGGTGTGCAAAAAGGAAACCCAGCAAAGCAGGGGTCCATAGGCGCCATCGTTAAAAAAAAAAAGGAACTCCACAACTCAAGGCACCTTGATGGGTCCAAACGAAACCTTCAGGCGTAGCTGCGGGAAGATCCGTCGAAACTGACGCATTGCCCTGACCTCAAGGAAGATGCTTGTCCATGGGTTTTACCACTTGATGGCTAGCCGCTAGCCTCCAACTGTGCCCGAAGGTGTGCCAAATTTCATGTCAGCAAGTGACGCAAGAAAGACATGATGCGCTAGATGTCCAAAGGCACACGGTCCCTGACCTTAGCAGCTACAGCTATTTTGACAAAAGGATTGAAGAGGATGAATTTGATGGAAAAGAAAGACTTCGATTTGACTGTCAACATTCCCTGCGTCATGGCTGGAAAGGCGGGAAACACTTACCAAAAGGATTCAAAAGGGAAACTGGACCGAGACCCAGACCCTTTCAGCACCTCCTGGGCCAGAGTGGCTTGAGGCTCCTGCAAGGAGGGAAGATCTGACATTCTGAGATGTGTTGCAGAAAATTGCGCCACACAGCTTGCCATGGACCCAAAGATCACCCATGGTTCCTTCCATCTCCCCAAAAAAAATAGCTAGTTCTCATGTCGGGATGAACCACCTGACCCCCCCACCAACTAGTGATGGGCGGTAGTCACCGGTAGTCCTTCTGCGCAGCATCCAATCGATCACAAAGCTCGGAGAGCGCTTGAAATTCTGCGCAAAGGCTCCTTCTGTAATGTAAACACGAAGCAGGCTGCACAGTCATGGGTTTCTGCCTGATGTTCAAATAGGTTCCTGTCGTCAAGCTCTCCATGAACTTCCAATAAATACTCCCTTTCAGCGCTGGTTACCCCCAGTTATGGGTAATGATCCTGTATCTGTCCAAACCCATCAAAAAATTTGAGAGCGGGGCCCATCATCACAGGTACAGTGGGCTGACCATCCATGCTGCGCCTGTCCACCACGCCACTGATGGGCAATACCCAGCTCCGAAGCAAACCAGCGCACCCAGCGCGCGTTCCCTCGCCGTGGAAGCGGTTCTCCTCGCTGCAGTTGCCAGGTGAATTCTGCCCAGGTTCACAGGTGGGTTTGATCGATATGCAAAGCTGCATTACCCCACATCCTCTTGTCAGTCTGCTGAGGACCACCATCACAGCACAGATTTGAGGGGGTCCAAACTTCCTACATTTGAAATTGATGTGCATTACTTGGGCCAATCACCTATTGCTTTCAGGCGTGCCTTGACGAAGGAACCTTTTAATGGAGCTGGCTCAGGACCAATCCGGTATTCCAAATAGCCTTGAAGGCAAAGCATCACAATGAGAGGCTTGGCAGAAGAAGCTCATGGTCCATGATTCAATGATGTCGCCTGGGGACTGTTTTCTACGTCAAACACTATCAAACTCACCTCCCTAGCCGATACCCTTCGCCCTAGCACACATGGCACTCCACAGCCACAGGAAGCGACGCACATACAAGTCTCCTCATGTGAAAACCCACAGCCATTGCTATCTGCTACAAATGCCACATCATTTAGCACAACATTCTGGGGAGGGGTATCAATCAGCCACGCAACAGCTCACTCTGTCTTTGACAAAAAAGCGCTCTTGTCGCCAATCTTCTCCCTGTTGCACAGCCGCTGTGGAGGCCTCAAAGCAACAAAGTAGTGGGGATGGTTGGTGGCACCGACAAACAAAAACATCAAATCCTTTGCTGATTTGGTCCCTTGGGTCCCTTGACTGCCTCCTCCTCCCTCCTCCTCTTCTTTTTCTTCTTTTTTTCCGTCTTCGTCTTCTTCTTCTTCTTCTTCTGCTTCTGTTTCTTCTTACGTTTCTTCTTCTCCTTCTTCTTCTCCTTCTCCTTCTCCTTCCCCTTCTTCTTTCTATATATTTACTGTATCTCTTCTTCCTCCTTCTTCTTATTGTTTATTCTTTGTCTTCATCACTCTCCTCATTTTGGTCTTTTTCCGGGCATGTCTTTGCTGGGATCCATGCTAGAAACATGTCCCCAACGAAACCGGCACTGGTGACATCGAAGATGACTGCGCGTGTGTTGATGGTGTCGATACTGCCACTGGTTTGGCTCTTTGTAGTGGTATTAAGTGCTATTGGGGTCGCTGTTGTTGCTGCTCTGGTTGAAGGAGGGCCATGGCACAAATGGACAAAAGAACTATAGTAGAACTATATATTTAGCGCCAAAAGGGTAAGGCATGGCGGACCAGAAGTTCGCACACAGGCGACTAAAGAACATCAAGACTAGTGGCCTAGTGACTAGCGAGGCCGGCTTTCGTGCCTCAATCATACGCAGTTTGTGTCTACGTTCTCCTTCCTCCTGGACTCCTGATATTTCTGTTTCAAAAATTGATTCTTTTCGTATGCTGCTGCGTCATCCAATCTGATCAAAAACAAACTCCTCTTATGAGCGGTGGCGTTGATGGGAACAAGCCCTCGCTCATAATCAAACATTCGAAGTTACTAGACTGAAATTAGCACGTCACAATAAAAACTCCCTTTGCCAAGCGGGGTCCAAGAAGCTTCCGCTGTTTCAAGGAAGCCCTTCTCCGGCTTCTGGATCCCCAATTTGCTTAGCAAATAGGTCGTTCCATGAATTCCAAAGTTGTCAATGTGCCATCGGAGCAAGATCCCATTGCAAGGAGAAAAGGGATCCTCCTTGATCCATTCGTTGTGGAAGGCATCCACTCTCCTCAACAGTGTCTCGAGGAGGTAATTTCCATCCGGTGCTGGCAGGTCCAAACCCACCAAGTTCACCAAGGGCTGGCTTTCCATGTTGAGCTCCAGACCTAGTGGAATGGCAAGGGAGATGACAAAATCCCGAGCAACTGGTTTCAAAGACTGTTACACGACCGTCTTGCTTCCTTCTTATGTTAATATCAAACATTCTGGACCTCTCAAATCCGCCAAAACACATCGTTTCGCAGGGAACTTGGCAAGTTTGGCCGGCTTCTCCCATGTTTGCATACAGGGAGGAGGCAAAAAAAAAGTGACTTTTGTCCCATGCCGGTTGCTAACATCCAGATTTATTTTTGGTTTCTGTCCATCCATCCAATCCACACCCATCCGACCTGACATGATGAAGCCAACAAGAAACCTTCAACCAGCCAGGGGGGTTACCCAGCAAACAGGTAGTGGATCAGGTCCCCCACACCCATGGCAAACAATACAAACAAATACAATACCGCCATGCAAAAAACCTACTTCCCTTAGGGTCAGAAAAATGATAGGAAAATGCAATCTTTCTTGTGGCTTAACATCCAGCATCCACCAACATCTGCCATCCGCCATCCTCCGTGGTGGAAGCAAGTCACACGCCACGCTCCGTTGCGCCACCGCCCGTTGCAGCACTGGTGGCCACGCCCTGGCTGCGGCGAAGGCTCGCGCAGCGTTGGCTAAGTCGAGCGCCTTCCAGGACGGCAGCGTTGCAGCGGCGGCGGCGAGGACGGCGAAGAGCGGAGCGTGGCACCTGCGAATCACCAGGGAAAATGATTTGCCGTTGGGGAAATTTGCCACGAAAGCATGGATTTGAGCAAAATAGGAGGGATGTGCTGTAGTGTTTCCCCAAAAAAAAAAGACAGTTCTGTGACACTAGGATGAGAATGAATTAATAAAATGATGTGTAAAGAATCTGGTGTCGTTTATGGTGGAATATGCAGTGAACAATATCTAGTATATACATATATATATATATACTTACAAGATCTGACAGTAATAGGCATTCACTTGAATTATAAATAGCGAAAGTGAGGATTCAACCAACCTCCTTTTTGGTGGGATCCATCATCAAGCAAGCAGTGGGAATGAAACCTATGGATAGGACACGGTGGGACTACATAACTACATATGGACGAACACGGATCACATCATTCATGGTGTGCTTCAGCAATAGATTCAGTCTACCTTTCTTCTCTTGATTTCAGGTTTCTACATCTCCATCAGTTCCTTGATCCACATCTTTTCACTGGTATATTATATATTATAGGTATATATACATATGTCTATATATTATATATAATTTAATATTATATATCAGTTGTACGCCATCAACGGGCCATCCACTAGATCACTTTCTCAAGCTCCGTCCTACCAGAGGTCCCTTTGGCCATCGAGGCCTTCGAAGAGTTGCGAAGCACCAGGCCAGGTTTGCCAACTCTCTGGGCCCCAAGGTGCGCCGGCAAACTTCCGCTGAGATGGCGTCCAGCAGGGGCTCCTCGAAATGGGGGTGCCAACAGAGGTCCCCCGATTGGGTTGGTTAAGCACTAGAAATGGTGGCTCCTGTTGATGTAGAAGGAAAAACACACTTTCACTTTCACGGCGCTACAAGGTCTCTATGGCCTTGCAGCTACACAAAAACATGCAGTCAATTGCTAGGTATAGTTTAGTATGTGGACCATCAGAATCATGCTTCAACCCGCATGCTAAGCCTACACCTTTCATCCCCTTTCCAGTCCTGGGAAACGCTCATCTTCGCATGGGCCCAGGCCATGTTGGAAAGGTTCTGAGCATCGAAGGCCGCAACTCGCCTGACACCTGCGACGGCCAAGGAGTCCAGCAGCCGCTGGTGTCGCACAGCGAGCTTGGCATAGCCTCAGGCGCTGTTGGCCACACCTGCCATGGGACAAAGGCGTGGCAGGGTTGCTGGCAGTGGATTTAAGGTATGCTATATATGGTATGCCCGTAGGAATGTGCTGATGTAACATGAACCCCAAATGGTTGTTACATACATGCGACGGGGTTATTACATATTGGCAAATTGGGCTTACCACTGTACCAATCTTTGCAGTTCAGACATGTAACAATGTAACCCAAGGGCGCAAATCATGGCTAGAGAACGTCCTTATGAAAGCTACCCTGCATCAACAGCCGCACCTTGTGGGCTCATCGCTGTGATCTTTAGCAAAACACTTTCAGCAATTGCACCTGACGGCGTGCAGGTGCCACAGGGCGTCATCCTAAGTCATCCGGATGTTCAAGCAAACCCTCCCGCCGATTCCAGCCTATGATTGGAGAGTGATTGCAGCCAATTGTGGCCATGGCTCAGGCAACGTTTGCCAGCTGTTGCGGAGAGAACTCCATGCCCTTGACCTTCAGGAAGCTGTCCAAGACATCAATGAGCTCCTGGTCAAAGTACACTAGCCTCAGCAAGGCCAAGAAAGTGCACTTCTTGCCACCACTTCGGAAGAGAATCAGTGGTTGATGTGCTACCTGGCATTTCGAGAATGGCTACTCGTCTATTGTCGGCTTTTCAAGCTACGCTTCATTGCCTCGTTCATTGCCCAGCAGCGCTGCAGGGCTTCACACCCTGTTGGCAATCGCCTGCGCCCCCTTCAACCGCTTGGTTGCCGCAATGGCGCTGAAGAGAGGCTGAGACTCGTAGCCTCCACAGGGACGCGACAGTTCAACTGGTCACTGGGAACTTTTGTCGCTTACGCCACTTGGGCTGAGAATTTGTGGAAAAGGATCAAAGCTGGCGGGCATGCCTGCAGTGCTGAAGGTTTAGGCACTGTTCGCCAAGGCTTGCGAACCAAACTGGCCTCATGCGGCAGCAATCAGCCCTAAACATCCCTAAACCAATGGGTTGGTTGGAGGGAAAGGAAACCATGAGTTTGCTGGCCACATGTGGGGGGTCCTGCCAGGTTTCCGTTGAACCAATTCTAGGACGAAGTCTTTTGGCCACAACATGAATGGGGCTCAATGTTGTCGGCCCTAAAGTTGGATCAATTACAGATGATTACAGTACCCAATACTAGGAAGTGTTAACCGAGTCCATGGATAAATGGCATCTATATCTTCATTACTCTTCATGGGTCAAAGCTTCACAGGCAGGTTTCCGACACCCAGATCTGCATTCAAGAAGCCGATCTTGCGAAGGGCGGCGCTGGCAAGAGCACTGAACAGCGGCGCATGTCCTCGCCAAAATCTTGTAAGAAAGTCTTTGAGGTCGCACATTTGATTCTTCAGAGACTTGGTTCAAGGGCATTTGTTGCAAGAAACACCACGTTTGGATGGTGAAGAATTGGAGGGAAAAAGCCAGGGTTTCCTACAACTTCTCCCTTAACCTCAAATCAATTCAACGGGTTGTGGCAGTTTTGCTTTGGGCCTTGCTTTGGGGCAGTGAGCCAGGATTGCACGGAGGCAGTCCTAACAACAGAGTGGCAAATGCCCAAGCCACATTGGAGATGTTCTGCGCCTCAAATTCGCCAATCCGCTGAAGGCTTGCGCAGGCAATGATCTCAAATAGAGGAGGCGTTTCCAGGCCCAAAGTTGCAAGGCCCCAGGAGATGTTGGTCCTTTGAGCTGCTCTGAGTGGTGGTTTCTGCCTGTTTTTTTTTCCGGTAGGCACTCATCATGATTATTATCATTACGACATGTTACGACTATAAAGAAGGTGACTGTAATTTGTAATTGCTGGGTCATGATCATGATCGCGATCGTGATGATGATGATGATGATGATGATGAGGATGAGGATGAGGATGAGGATGAGGATGAGATGGATGGATGGATGGATGATTGATTATTGATGATTGAATGCAAGATTCATCAAAACTATCCCAGGCAAGTCTCAGATTTTGTGGCTCCAAATCCCCATGCAGTCGCAGTCTCCACATCGTTTGCTGCCCAATGAACTCCATGAGTTTCAGCTCCAGCACTGCCAGAGTGGCGAGGGACCATGCTACGGTTCCCAGCTCCTGCGGCCCGCACTCCACTGGTCGTGCCCTCAGCGCTGTGGATAGCTCGGCCAGCAGCGGCAGGTCCAAGTGGCTCAGCGCAGCAGGACCTCAAGGCGCAGAGGGAGCAGGTGAACACAGTGAAACACAGTGAAACACAGTGAAACACAGTGAAACACAGTGAAACACAGTGAAACCATCCAAAGTTTACTACCATTGTTTCTGAGGCCATGGTGACATTGCAAACTTGAAGCTGGTTTTATAGTCGGAAAAGGATGGAAAAGGCAGGTAAAAGTTAAAAGCTGAGGCAACCAAAGATCATCAGGCCAAATTCGCAAGGCCTCGTGCTTCCAACTGCTGGATGCGAGCCTTGACTTGTCTTCCGATGGTCTCCAGCAATGGCTTCACCACGAATCCAACTTTGCCATGACCTATGCAGGGTGAAGCTCCCACCTGACCATGGACCTGTGAAAAATCAAGTGTCCATGCTGGTTGAAACCACATTTTAGCCGGCTAGATCCTCAGCTTGTAGTTAGGAACCCCAATTCACCCCATCTTTCCTGGCCAATTCTCCAGTCTCAACTATTCCTTGGTTGGATGTTCATTCTTGTGGGAAATCATCCCCCAACTTTTCCCAGTATCCCACTTCCACCTGGTGGTTTGGCGATCCCTCTCCAACAGTTCAACTTTCAGTGGTGGTACATGGTAAACCCATCCGATGCCAAAAAAACTAAAAACCTTCAAGTTTTTTGGCTGCGATCCATCCCAGTTTCCCACGCCTCAAGCAAGGTTGAACAGCTCCTGAGGTATTGCTTCAGAGATCACCTTCTCAAACTTCGCAGCTATCGCGGCCAGGAGAGGGGTGTCACCAATTGCCAAATGGGCACATCACCAAGCCACATTGGCACAGTGCTGTGCACTGAACTCCTCCACATGCGAGCAACACGCATCCGGTAAGATGGCAACCAGAAAGGCAGTGCTCCTCCCTCCATTCAGCTGCAAGCTCGCAGCAGTTCATGCAACATTGGCCAGTTTCTGAGCATCGAACTGCAACAGACTTTGCCGGCAGCGTTGCGACAAACAGTCCAACAATGGAGGATCTTTGTGAGAGAGCTTGGCAGTGCCCCACAAAGTGCTGGCGATCTGTTGCGGGTTGTACTCGTGACTGTGGGCCGTCACCCTGCATGCAAGGGCTTCCAAGAGCAGGGGATGGTCGAAATGCAAAGTGCCCAAGGACCAAACCAAGTTTGTCAAGGGCAGGGGTCGAAACAGTTTCATCTGACTCAGCGCATGGTGTGAAATGATCAAGATCAAAGGATGATTCTGAACCTGCAGCGTAGCCCAGGTCCATGCCATGTTGGCCAAGCTCTGTGGCTCAAATTGCTCAATACGCTCCTTGTCTTGAAGCAAGGCACTTCCACAAACAGGGATAAGTGATAAGATACAAAGAGCAAGATTGCGATGCAAATGTAAAACCACTTTGGGGATATTGTGTATGATATGATATAACCTACAACACACCAACCATGTTTTTCTACAAAGGCTGCCAAGATCGGTAGTCCAGTCTCCAAACAGGCAGCAGCAACCGCATCCAGAAAGGGCTGGTCTTTGTACAGTAGCTTTGCAAGGGCCCAGGCGGAATTAGCCAATCCTTGCGGGTCAAATCTTGACATCTTGAGCTGCATCTGCCGACTCATTGCTTCTAACAACGGCCGCTACCTCCATGCCACCTTGGCCATAGCCCAGGCCACATTGGACAAGTTTTGCGGCTCAAATTCTGGCAGCCGCTCTGCTACTGGTGTGGCCATTGCAGCCACCGGGGATGCCATTTCCAGCACTGCCATCCTCCACAGCATGTTGGCCAAGCCCTGGAAGTCGCACTCCAACAGCCTGGAATGGCCAGCCACCCGGCCTACTGCTTCCATGGCACCGCCATCTGCGTCAAGGTAGGCAACGCGCCCCATCGCTCACACAAAGTTCGTGGTGACCTGCATGTCGTAGACTTGAAAATCCTCCTCCTTCTTGCTGACCAAAGTCATCATCAGGTGGAAAAAGGGCCAATCTTCAAAGCGCAGCTTGGCGAAGGCCCAAATGCTTCGCACCAACCACTGCAGCCGAAAGTTCTCGGCTTGTAGCTGCACCAGCTTAGCCATGGTCTGAACCAAGGGGATCTCGTCATAGATCAACTTCGCAGGTGCTCACACCCTAGCAGGGTTTTCAAACGGGCCCATGAACACGAGCGAGGCCAAAACATCAGCAACAAAATGAAAATCGAAGGGAACAAATATGTTTGGGAAGATTTGGTAAGCGCGGGATAGATGTAACCAGTTTGAACCCTGCCTGTTGACCAAGCCCTGCGCATGGAAGCCTTGAGCCAAGGACTGGCATTCCCATGCCACGGCCTAGGCCAAAGGACTGCCTCGTAAAACCAAACGGCCACAGCTCCAAGCGACATCCGCAAGAGCTCGTGGAACCAAAGTATGCAAGATTCCTGGAGGCAGATTGAGGCAGGATCAGCAGGCTCAAATCGGGTCAAATGGTCAATTTCCACAGACACAGGGAAGAGACTAGACGTCTTCAATCGTCTTCATGTATTTAGCATATTTTAGCGTTGGCAAGCGAAAATCGACAAATCCAGAGGACAGTGATTTGAAAAAAATGAGGTCGACCCGGTATCCCAGCGACGGCAAAGTAACAAAGTTTAACAAAGCCTGTGTCCGAATTCTGCATGAAAAGACCCTCCTTTCCTGCAACTTCGGCTGTCAAGAGCGGGAAACGTTCGTCTGCCAACAGGCCTTCTGGGCGGCGGTTGGCTGCGAGACGTGTCAAGGTCAAGACATGATGAGATGCCTGGAACTCAGTGGCGTGTGAGACCCAGTGTGCCAAGAGCTATGACACAGGCAGCGTAGAGACGGCATCCTCAGAAGAGAATGATGCCAAAATGCAAAAGGCTTTCTGCAAGGCACATTGGAGGTGCCAAGAGTGAAGGCAGGTGTGCCAAAAAGACTGTTTTGCCTTCAGTAGAACGACGACCGATTTTTTGAAGATAAAAACTGGAAATCTCCTAACCCTACCTCACCAGGAAAGTGCCAAACAGCCGCACCAAAACACTCCAAAACTCTAAGTGGAGAAGCGTCTCTCTAGGTCTGGCCCGGCGGTGCCCAAGAAACTGCTACTGGGGCCTTCCCAAAAGGCATGGCTGGCACTGGCTGTTCGCTCACATTTGGCTCCCTCGCACCGGCCACATGGAAAAACGCCCCCAAAAAAAAGTTGAAGTGAAGGGCCTGCAGTTGGAGGACCAACAAACTTGGTATCCGTAACATCGCGTAACATATTTCCACTTGCAGGTCATGGCCAGCCACTTGATTGTTGTGCATTGCTCTCGTCGAAGTAGTAAGACATGAATTTATTCGCTCCGCCTGCATGTTGTGTGCTTTGGGCCAAACGAGAGCCGCGGAATGGGATTGAGTTCTTGCTGCAGCATGTCGCATCCTTGTCGGCTGCAATGCTCACCCCAAAACACTTCCAACATCGTCCAACCCCCTTCTATATAATGCAAATCTCATGACACATCATGACACCTTTTCTCAGGATTTCTCAGGTCACTTGCCGTACAGCCTCGTGCCAGCGTTGCAGTGGGGTCTCAACCTTTTGATAATCTACAGGTATCTCTGGGCTCCAACTGGAGGTGTCCAAGGCGTTATAGCGCCGAAACCAGGTGCTGTCACCGAAGACTTCCTCTTCGCCCGTAAAGCGGACGCCCGTAGTCTTGGTGGATTCTTCATCGGCCACCTCGAAAGACAGTCTGGGGCCAAAATCTGGGGCCGTAAAAAGGGGCAAGGTGGTAAAGAATATTCAAAAATGTTACAGAATGTTCAAGGACAAGAAGTCATCCAACAGAATCCAACAGCCAGTCATACTCCAGCTTGAAAGCACAGAATGAAGGCCCGTGAGTCCAGTGAGTTTCACTGGCCTTGGCTTCGGTTTGTGCCTCGAGCACAGAGGCTAAGCGAGTGAGTTGGAGGTGCAAGGCTTGCTGGATTGATATCATCTCTTCCACCTCGGGAGACTCCGGCGACGCACAGTACGACACAAAGTTTACTTTGCTCCAAAGGCATAAAGAATCATAAGAATATATAAAGATTGCATCCGAGATGCGTTGCCGCAAAATTGGTAGTTAGGATCCTGAAACCAAGTGTTCACATTCAACTGCACTTTCCAACCTCAGAATTTTCCATTTGTGTTCGGCACATCAGCACAGTTGCAATCACAGCAAATCAGAGGAATCCTACAGGGAAGGAATCAAGCCAAAACCACGGGACCATATGGGACCTCTTCCGTGAGAGAGGGTCGCTTGTATCACATCCACATGATTCCAGATGTATGATGTGGCCACATCCTTGTGGCCAGCTAGCGGCTGCTCAGCGGCACCCACCACTGACTTCCCTGCGCCAAGAAGCAGATCTTATCTCCAGCGCGTTCAAACTCTGGAGTGCCAGTCTCAATGAACATTTCCTTGGACCGGTTTTCTAAGGAGGAAGCACGATCCAAGTGTTTTTCGGATTCAACAGATCGATGTCGTTCAATACCCAAACAGACAAAGAAACAAAGAAACAAAGAAACAAAGAAACAAACAAACCAACGAACAAACAAACAAACAAATGCATATCTACATATATGCGTGCGTGATTATATAATGCATCTCTCTGTGTGAGTGAGTGTGTGTGTGTGTCTACATCTGTATGTCCCCGTATGTGTAATCAAGCGTGCTGATGTTTGCTCCCTTTTTTTTGAGTTGCAGGCTTGCACCCGTCCGTACCCTTCCGCCCCCATCTCGTTACCATTCGTTGTTCTCAATTCGAGTTTCATGGAGATCCTTCGAATAAACCTGCTGATCGAAGGGTCCTTTGCCTGCAATGGGGCAATGCACTCAAGGCAGTTACGCGAGGTTAGATTCATTCTGCAAGATATTTGAGGTTGTGAAAATGAGGGACCCAAGAATCTGCTGGAACATCGAAAATGATGAAAATATACTCATAGAATAGAATGTAAAATCCGTTGTTTCTGGGTTGCAATTTCGAGAAACACCCAAAACTGGTCGAATCTATATATATATATATAAAAATGTGCGACAATTCTATGCTACCTTTCATGTCATTGGGCTATGTTTGAGCTGTTTCCCACCTGGAAGCTCAAAGATTTGCATCTGGTCGCAGCTTATCTGTAGGAATGCAGCTTGCTTTGGCAGACCCTGAGCTTTCAGACCCCAAGCACCAACTACTGACCTCAGTTTCCGGCTCCCAAGCACAATACATTCTTGGAGAAAGAGTGGGAAGCTCAAGAGGCGTCAAGTTCTGAAACCGTTTTTTTGCTTCCCATTGAGGACACTGGGGTTCTCCAGGTGCCGTGATGATGCCCAGCTGCGCGAACACAAACCCATAGTCGCGCTGCTTCCTGTTCAACGCGGCTCGCCAGAAGAACGAGTTCATGTCGATGGTGGCATGGAGTATCAGCGACGTTTGAGCTTGAAGATGTTCCTGTGACTAGTCGGAAGATTCATGCAAAACACTCCAAGTAAAGAAATGAATCCGTCTGCACCATGCGACTGCCCCAAGGAAATTAGGCCAAGAACACCTAGCATCCCAAACCAACATATGAGGCCACGCAAAGGTTTTCGGCAAAAACAGCAGTAGCAGGTGCAGCAACAACATCATCATCAACAACAACAACAAGAACAACAAGAACAAAAGGCTGGGGAAGGCAGAGGGGAATGGGAAGAAAAGAAGAAGAGGAAGCAGATGAAGATATTGAAGATGAAGGATCACACCCCCAACGACCAAAGAAACACCCCGTCTGGGCGTCCTGAGGCTCTTCCCCCGGCTGCGGCTTTTGCTCCCGCTCTGAGAATCGCACTCCGACGCTGGTGTGGGCTTTCACCAGCAGCTGCTGGAAATCCAGGCTCTGTGCTGGCTGCGCCCGTGGCCTGAGGAAAATGCATGCTGTGCCATTGGAATGGTTTCGAAAGGCTCTCCCCATCACACAGCCAAGTCAATGGATCCTTGAAAGTTGTGAGGAATACAATGTGTCTTATGTGAGCAACGAGAGAGCAACGAGACGCGATCTTAGCCAGCCGAGCCTTTTCCATTTGTCATCAATCCTGCCAGTCGGCAAGGAGTGGGCACCGGTCCTGACCTTGCAGTTAGTTGCAAAGGTACATTTGGCATGGGATCGCTTAGACAAATGGAAACACCGGTGTTCCACCAGCCCTGATGAGCTCAAAAGCGCCCAACAGAACGCCACAAGTCTGCGGTTCTGAAATGTTCTGCTTGAGCAGCTTAGGATCCCACATTTCTTGGGGTGGCCCATTTGGCGCCCACTTCACGAAAGACACTCTCCAGGAAATTTGGAGAGACATCCATGGACAGCAGGGGATATCCATCCGTAATCCTTCGGAGAATCAAGCCCTTGGCCTTGGGCAGTGGCAGCACTTTGGGTAGGATGGGCATAAGCATGCTGACATATGCTGACAAACCAGCCACCCAGTACCCAAAGGCCGTTCACAACGGGCCAGCGCATGAGTTTCTGACAGCAAGCCAGTCCGATTTTATTTCTCATCAACAGGAAACAAGAAGAAACGTCAAACCGAGCTTGCTCGTAGAGAACAGGAGCTCCAACTTTCACCAGCTGCCCGCCCATGGGAGGAAGCAAACACCCTTACCCTGGAGTACAAGGCTACCGGGGGGATGTTCACGATCTTCAAACATCTCCCGACCACGGACCAAGTTTCAGCATCAAGTTCAAGGTCCACATGCCCCACAACAGTCTCCATCATGCCTGGCTGCTCGGCAAATGTCTACCCCAGCGTAGAAAGCGCGAAAATTGAATGAAGTATCCCGTGTCAAATCTCGAACACGTTGGGCTTCTGGCGACACACAACTGGAGATCAAGTGTCTACAAGTCCAAATTGCTGAGAAACTTGTATCAGCAAACGCCCAAAGTTGATATCTAACCAACTAGTTAAGCATCATCAAACATCCGTGACCCTGCAATTGCAAAGAGGTGGTCGCCAGAGTCTCCCCAAGAATTTCCACGTGCCTTTTGACTCGTTGAGGACCAATTCCGCCCTGCTGAGAGTTGCACTGAGCTCGATGGCATCCTCTTTCCCGTTGACGGCGAAGGGAAGTCGAAAACTTTGCAGCTGCACCTGGCGCGTTGTTGACATGCTGCAACCCAACGGGAAAAAAAGGATATACAGGAGACGCGCTTCAGCTAGCCTAGCCCAACTTGCACCCACCTTCGAGATGTTAAGCTCTTTCTGCCGAAGATTCACTGCTCCTTTCAGCTGTGACCTGGGGTCAGCTCCAAGCTGTTAACACCCATCAGGGAAAAAAAACAAACCATTTGTTAATTCGAACAATCTTTCAATGCCCAAGGGATGAACCCATCACTTTTCCGCAGTTCTGGGATTCCACACTTGGAGGGTTCCTTTGGAAGGAGCCCAGTCAAGACCCGGTCGCCCAAGAAGCAGCGCAACATCTTCACAGGAGCCACGGCTTGCGTAGAAACGTTCACCTGTCATAGCTGTTTCAGGGGTGGAAGCCAACAGATTTCATTGGTTTGGGTAAAGAACTTGGATGGGACACTGGAGAAACTGGTCATTAACTTTTGGGGTTGCGGATGAGTAAACGCTCAGCAACTGGAAAGAAATCCAGTTGACATCCCAGGTACGCAAAGCAACCATGTAATCAGACTACTGGCCCGTAAACGGGGCAGCTCTCCCGCCTGAGCGCGTGTGTTGTCGTCCATTGCCAGACTAACGATGGCTTGCCCAAGCATGTCCTGCAAAGGACCACCTTCACCACCTGGCAGGTGCGATCATCGGATGTGGGCCATGGGTAACTGAAAAGGAGGGAAGAAAAATTAACCCAGCATACAACCCCAATAGCAAAGTTTCGCATTTCCTTTGACGCCCATTTTTGCATTGACAGGTGAACCAGTTTAGTTGAGAAAATACCATTCCTTCAATACCACCAAGACACCACCGGAACACTGCCAAGACACCACGGAAACAACATGAGCAAAACACCCAAAACATCACCGGACACCGTCAAGACACTACAGGAAAGCGCGAAACTCATGCCTAAGTCACGCCTGTGTGCTGAAAATCTGCTTTCCCCCATCTAAATGCAATTTCCAGGAAGTCATGCCTATGTCATGCCCGTAACCCAAATCACCATCTAAATGCAGCGGAAACCTTTGCTTCATTTTGATTATATGACTGATACCAGTAGTACCGCACAAGGCGGTGGCGGAAGTTTCAAAAATAGTAGCCTGTAGGAAGTGTTGGGTTTTTGCGTTGCATGGGCGGCAGAGCAAGCCGCTGATGGATCGTTTTTGATAATGGTTTGTTGTGAAATGAATAGTGAATCTGAAAGTGAAGTGTGAGATAAGGGATATGATATATACTGGAAAAAAACGACGTCAGAACGACGTCCGAACGACGTCCAAGCGACGTCAACTCATTCCCTAGGAAAGGCCACTCCCCACATGATGGCTGAACAACATGAGACTCCTAGTACGTTACATTAATACAAAGGAAGAAATGGCTACTCAAAACACCAACTAAATGCAACGACCAAGTCTTAAGTAACTCAGATGTGAAGTCTTTGCCCAACATCAAAACACCAACTAAATGCAACGACCAAGTCTTAAGTAACTCAGATGTGAAGTCTTTGCCCAACATCAAAACACCAACTAAATGCAACGACCAAGTCTTAAGTAACTCAGATGTGAAGTCTTTGCCCAACATCAAAACACCAACTAAATGCAACGACCAAGTCTTAAGTAAGTCAGATGTGAAATCTTTGCCCAACATCAAAACACCAACTAAATGCAACGACCAAGTCTTAAGTAAGTCAGATGTGAAATCTTTGCCCAACATCAAAACACCAACTAAATGCAACGACCAAGTCTTAAGTAAGTCAGATGTGAAATCTTTGCCCAACATCAAAACACCAACTAAATGCAACGACCAAGTCTTAAGTAACTCAGATGTGAAGTCTTTGCACAACATGCTGAACACCAACTAAATGCAGGATTTATATAAAATCATAGATCCGATCATGAAAACCAGAAAATCATGCATTTCCTATGCGTTTCACAAAAAGGCACGACTTTTCAAAATCAAGTGCTCCGAAGCTATTTTCAACGATTCTCACTAATCTAGGCGCGACTTTAGCAACTCTCTGTACACTACGGACACGCCACCAAAGTGCCACCAAGACACCAACGACCACCGAAACAAAATGGACAGACCACCAAGACACCAGCACGAAGGACACGACCAATTCCCAAAAGGACCCGCAAAGGGTTTTTCCAAAAAAGTTGTTGCCAACATATTTTGTCATGATAATGTTCCCCATCATCATCTTCTTGCATCACCATCAACACAACACCGTCACAACAACATCATCACAGCACCATCATCATCATCACCACAATCATTTTCATCATGATCACCTTCTTCTTTTCACCAACTATGCCCACATCATCAACATCATCAACAACAAAAAACAAAAACAACATCATCACTTTTTCATACTTTTTCATGTTTGACAAGTTTCAATTTGTGCATCTACAAAATGAAATACACAGGTGTACATGCAGGTATGTGAACATTTAAAAATCGTATTGTTGCAGGCGTTTGAGTGCAGGTGCATAGATGAAAGATACATAGAACCTTTTTGAAAACAACTACCACATGAATATTTGCAGGTGTAGTGCGGCAGGTGCATATAGAGAGAGAGATAGATAGATAGATAGATAGATTGATTGATTGATTGATAGCTAAATAAATAAATAAATAGATAGAATTATATCGTGTGTGTGTGCAGGTGGGGATCAAGTTTGAAAAAAAAACGCGCAGATGTAAATATGCAGGTGGAAATCAACTTCGCAAAGCACCTACAATTTCCAAAGGTTTTTCTCAATTTTCTCTGAGGGCTGCAGGGCAGCGTGGACTGATGTCCACGAAACGCAACCCTCTCGAACGAAATGTCGACCCTCAAAAACTGAGGAAGTTGCGGTGTTGGTTTGAGCCGGGCCGATCCTTTCCCACGAAATGCGTCTCGATCCTCGAAAACTGCCAAAAATTCGCTTTTGCGTAGCCCCTCTATGTTTCGATCGTCAAAACTGCGGTGATGTTAGGCTTTTTGGCGTTTGGATGGTTTTGCCTAGATCCTCTTGCAATAAATGCATTTCGATCGTTGAAAAAAAGAAAGGTGAAATTTACACTTTGCTTGCACTCGCAAACCCTTTAGCACAAAATGCGTCTAGATCATCAAGAGCTGTGGTGAAATTCAGGTTTCGCACCTGTTTGCTGAACTCTTTCGCGCAGAATTGGTGTCCGCCGTCGGATATCATGTAAAAGTATGTCTGTGTAAAAACATCCATATGTAAAAGCTCCTCGTGTAAATGCCTCCTTTGTAAAAGCACCTCTGTTTGTAATGGCATCTTGTGCGCAAAGTTCCTCGGCGTAAAATTATCTCCGTGTGTGAAAGCATCTCCGTGCAAGAAATCTCTGCGTTAGTAAAGGTATCTTTCTGTGAAAATATCTCTTTGTAGAAGCACGCGCGTTTAAAGACATCCCTGTGCAAGAGCATGCGTGCGTGCATGTGCGAGACAGCACCCGTATCTACAAAAACATCACCGTGCAAAAGTATTGTGTGTAAAAGACCTGTCAGTGTGTGTGTGTGTCAAAGTATGTCTGTGTAAAAGTACTTGCGCATAAAACAATCTCTGCGCAAAAGAACTTGTACGCGACAGCACTGCGTAAACGTATTAGTGCGTAAAAACAGCTGCGTGTAAAAGCATATCTGTGTAAAGGCACCTGTGTAAACGTGCCTGCGTCTGAAACTTTCTCTTTGCAACATCGTCTCTGTGTAAAAGTATTTGCCTCCTAAAGCACCTGTGTGTAAAGGCATCTCTGTGTTGAGAGATGTTGAGAGCATCTCTGTGTAAGAGCACCTGCGTGTAGAAGCGTCCCTTTGTAAAATCATTTCTTTTTTCAAACCATCTCTGTGCGAAGGCCCCTCCCTGTGTAAGAGCACTTGTGTGCAAAAGCATCTCCTTGCAAAAGCCTGATTTGCGTGTAAACATACGGGTGAGATTGGATGGCAGCCTGAGTCCAAAATGGCCTGAACCCTCCCGTAAATCGCATGTCCAACCTCACCCATGCAAAAGTTCCTCTGCCTAGAAGCGTCCTAGTTCTAAAAGCGCCTGTGTGTAAAAGCATCTCTGTGTAAAGATATCCGTGCAAAACGCCTCTTTGTAACAGTATCTGTGGATTGTCTGTGTTTCAAAACTGCCTCTGTATAAATGCATTTGCGCGTAAAAAAATCCGCATAAGAGTATTTGTGCACAAGCTTCTCTGTGTAAAGGGTGCTCTGTCTCGAATGACTTCCTGTGTAAAAGCACATGTGTGTAAAAGCTCCGTGTAAACGCATTGATGTGTAAAGGCATCTGTGTGTAGAAGCACCCGCGTGTCTGCGTGCAAAAGTTCCTTTGTGTAAAAGCATCCCTGTGTAAAAGCACCTGTGTAGCTGCGCGTAAAAGCATCTCCGAATAAAAGCATCTGTGTGTGTGTGTCAACGTCTGTGTGTAAAAGCACGTCTTTGTGAAAAGCATCTCTGTGTTAAAGCACCCATGTATAAAAGCATCCCTGTATATAAGCATGCCTCTGTGCAAAAGCATCTGTATGCAATATTTTGGTCATGCGGTGCTAGAATTTCTAAGCCGCAAAATATTTGCACAAAATTGCTCGGTGTTGCAGCATTTTGCAGCTAGGACCTGTGAACTGCATGGCATCATGCAACATCAGTTCATTGCGTGGAACTTGCTATCCCAGAAGTCTTGCAGCAGCGCGAAGCTAACATCTGCATGGTTTGGAATCATATCTGTCATATCTGAAAACTGCGTTGTAATTCTACACCTTTCAGAATCAAAGAAACCTGTACACTGCAGAATGCTTGAAGCGTTCCGAAACCAAAAACTATAACTTTCACAGTATGTGCAACATACTGGGACAAAACGCATTGCATCGCATGGTGTCTGAATTATGTTGCAACTATCACTTGCAAACCGCATGGTACGCGCAGCATTTTGAAATTGACTGCTGAAAGTTGGATGCTACTTCGCGGCTTGCTGAAGCTCAAAGCTGCAAGTGAAATGGTATGTGCAACATGTTGGAATTATCATCTGCACAATGCACATGCTGGCATGGTGTTTGCTGCGTGCTCCGCTAAAATCTATAAACTGCACAGTGCTTACCACATTTTGAATCCAAAACCTGTAAATTGCGCAGGGCTTGCAGCTGTTTGAAAGTAACATGTGTAAATTGGAAGGTGCAGGCAGCATCTTGGAGCTAGGCCATTGTCTCTTGCTTCCTGCCGTCCTTCCTTCCTCCCTCCCTCCTTCTTTCCCTTCCTGCTGTCGGAATTGTTTTTCTTTTGAGACATCTGCATGAGATTCGCGACGCGAGCGTACAGTAGCATGCAGAAAGTACGTCAACTCCTCTAGTGCGGTGAACGCAGCCCACAGCCCTGGTTGCTGCGTGGCGTCAGGAAATGTTCGGAATTTAGTTGTTTCGGTAGAAGCATCATATAGTAAGTACGTTAACTGATTCCGAACATACGTTAACATCCGTCCCCACCCCGGCCTCACCCAAGCCTGCAAACACAACCAAATTGACATCGTGATCATCATTATCACCATCATCTTCTTCATCATCATCATCATCAGCAGCAGCAGCTATCATGATTGTCAGCATGACAACAGGATAGAACCGTTACAATTACTTGAGGAAGGGTGTGACCAACCCAGAAAACACCCTCAAGATCTGAGCAACACGCAGGGAAACGCCACCGAGACACAACCAACCGACCACCCGCACAACCGCCTCGACACCACAAACATGACGTCACCAAGATACGACCAAGACACCACGAACACCTTGTATCAGCATCGAAACTTCTGAGGCACCACCAAGGCAACACCGAGTTACCAGCGAGGCACCACCTGGACACCATGAAGGCACCACTGAGACACCATCAAAAGAGCACAACGCCATGCAGACACCTTCCAGACGCCACCGAAAGACTACCAAGACATCACTGGGACATCACCAATACACCACCAATACACCAAAACACCACTGAGACACCACCGAACTATTAGGGAAAAACCAGCAGCAAGGAAGCAGCAAGAAAGCAGCAAGAGACGAAAGAAAGAGACCAGCAAGAAACCAACAAGAGACCAGCAAGAGACCAGCAAGAAACCGGCAAGAGACCAGCAAGAGACCAGCAAGAGACCAGCAAGAAACCAGCAAGAGACCAACAAGAGACCAACAGCAACCAGCAAGAGACCAACAAACAAGAGACCAGCAAGAAACCAGCAAGAGACCAGCAAGAAACCGGCAAGAGACCAGCAAGAGACCAGCAAAAAAACCAGCAAGAAACCAGCAAGAGACCAACAAGAGACGAGCAACAACCAGCAAGAGACCACAGAGAGACTACCAAAACACCACCGAGACACCACGGAAACACCGCCAAGACACCGCCGAATCATAACCAAGACACCACCGAGACACAAACAAGACACCATAGAGACACCACGTAGACACCACCGAGACACCACCAAGACACCACCAAGGTACCAACGAGACACCACCGAGACACCACCACCGAGACACCGTCGAGACACCACCGAGACACCGAGACACCGCCCAGGCCGGCAGCCGTGAACCCGACGGCGCCCGACCGCCTTTAGAGTTAACAGCCCCAAGCTATCGCTATTGGGGAAAAAACTGGAAACCCAAAACCCAAGATCCATCCGTCTCCAAGCTGCAGTCACCCAAAAAAGGACGGCGGTACATGTTTCCAGGAGGGCCATGTGATGGACTTCTGCCAAGGTACTCTTCCCAGCCATTGCGTGTTCCAAGGTGCAGTTCACGTAGGAGTTCAAGAGAGTCAGTGCCTCTTGGCCCAGAAATTGAGGATGAGTGTGGCAGGCAGGCAGGCGTTGAAAGAGCCAAACTGAACAAGTGTATGATCGTGATTACGAAAATGAACATGATCATGATGATCATGATGTTTATGATGATGATGATGATGATGATGATGGTGGTGATGGTGATGGTGATGGTGATGGTGATGATGATGCTAGTGACACTAGTGACGCTAGTGACGCTAGTGATGCTAGTGATGCTAGTGATGCTAGTGATGCTAGTGATGCTGGTGATGCTGGTGATGCTGGTGATGCTGGTGATGCTGGTGATGCTGGTGATGCTGGTGATGCTGGTTCCAGTGATGCCAGTGATGCCAGTGATGCCAGTGATGCCAGTGATGCCAGTGATGCCAGTGATGCCAGTGATGCCAGTGATGCCAGTGATGCCAGTGATGCCAGTGATGCCAGTGATGCCAGTGATGCCAGTGATGCCAGTGATGCCAGTGATGCCAGTGATGCCAGTGATGCCAGTGATGCCAGTGATGCCAGTGATGCCAGTGATGCCAGTGATGCCAGTGATGCCAGTGATGCGAGTGATGCGAGTGATGCGAGTGATGCGAGTGATGTGATGAGTGAGTGATGCCAGTGATGCCAGTGATGCTAGTGATGCTATCTATGCTAGTGATTCTAGTGATGCCAGTGATGCCAGTGATGCTAGTGATGCTAGTGATGCCAGTGATGCTAGTGATGCTAGTGATGCTAGTGATTCTAGTGATGCTAGTGATGCCAGTTCTGCTAGCGATGCAAGTGATGCTAGTGATGCTAGTGGTGCTAGTGATGCTAGCGATGCTAGCGATGCCAGTGATGCCAGTGATGCTGGTGATGCTAGTGATGCTAGCGATGCTAATGATGCTAGTGATGCTGATGATGCTGATGATGCCGATGACTCTGATGATACTGATGATGAGGGAAGTCAACCAGGGTGGAGAAGACAAAATACAGAGCCATAGTCATCCTTGCAAGGAGAAAAAGACAGGAATACGCAGAGTGGATAAGAGATGACAATCTCAGAACGAGATCCGATTCTCTGTAGCCTCCCCTGGTCCTTCTGGCTCTCAATCCGGTTATCTTTGGTATTGCAGGGTTTCCCACAAAGTTGAAATCCTATATTCCGGACAATCATCCCCGTCAGTATGTAAATGTCAGCACATGGTTGAACAATGTTGAACACGATGGATAGAAGTTCCCCCACTGGGTAGTATGCCTCCCAAGTTCAAATCGTTTGCACCTGCATCTGCGAACCACTTGCTATTATCTACGACAATCTAATCTTGGCAGATCATGAGCCAAGTTGCTAAGGACTCCTCGATGGCGTCCTTGCTAGGAGACAGATTCGACAGGTACATCGGCAGCACTGTAGATGCCGCCACGTCCACATTGGTGAGATCCTGTTGGTGTGTTCAAGGGATCAACCCCGTTGTTCCACCCATCCTGAACGCCACTGGGGAACAAGGTGAAACAGTGAAACTGTTTGCCGCTTTATTGCCAGGAATTGCGATACCAACACTAATGATCCAGAAACCATTGAGACTATAAGGAATCACCACTGGAAGGTGCGTATTATAAGTCTCAAACTAAAAAATCATCGACGCAATGATGATGCACGACGTACGATGACGCATGATCATGTTGGATGACTCAGATGACCCCTGCATTTTTGATTTGTACAAACGACTGAACCTTGATGAAGAAATCCACTCTGTCAGAGCCACATCTGTCACCAATCTGCTTCTGACACTGCGCCAGGATCTTGAAATGATGGGCCAACTGGCCATCCTTCAGGGTCATTCCATCCATCACCTCCTTATTGGGACAGCTATATTTTTTGCCACCATTTGTTCTGCCATCTCATGCAATTTCAGCGGACGTGGTTTTATATAATCCCAAAAAAATGCAAAGGGATGGCCTCTACATACAGATAGATTCATAGATATTTAGAATCATCTACATATTTTATTTCAAAAATATCACCCGCAAAACCACCAACCAACCAACCAACCAAGGCCTTCTTGCTCACCTCTTCCAAGGCCTGCACCACATCCTCCGGGAAGTAGTTCACCACCATGGGCCACAGGGTCTCCAGCAGCAGCTCGTCCACCTTGCCGAAGATGTCCAGCAAGGTGTTGATCATGGACCTCGGGTAAACAGCAAAGGTGAAAATCGGTGAAAATACAGGGAAAATATGGGAAAATCTTGAGAAATATATGGGAAAATATGGGATACTAAGGGTTGATATACTCATAGGGAATAAATATATTTCACTGATTTCCAACCAAAGGTCTCAGGCCATAGCTGCATGCTAATGGGTTTGGAATGGAATACTAATCCTGGACTTTGGGATATTAATGGGGGATATGATGTGTGTGTGTATATATATATGTGTGTGTGTGCGTGAAAACGGGATACTCATGGGATGTATTAAGTAACCAATCATGTGCTAAACCTAAATCGGATATTGTCCTCCCATCCCCCGTTCATATTAAACAGACCCACAACCATGGTTTCAGGTGGTGCTTAATATGAACGGGGGAAGGGATATTATTAATGGGATACGAGCGGTTTACTAATGGGATATACAACTGTTTTAACCAAAGCTATACCCACATGAAATCGGAATTTTAAAAAAGATGTAAATATTGTATATTCCAATCAAAAAAACTATCTATCTATCTATCTATCTATCTATCCATCTACCTATCTACCTATCTATCTATCTATCTATCTACCTATCTATCTATCTATCTATCTATATCTATCTATCTATCTATCTATCTATCTATCTATCTATCTATCTATCTATCTATCTATCTATCTATCTATCTATCTATCTATTCATCACGTTTATTTTTTTATATAAAGGACTGTCATGATATAATATGGGATATGAAAATGGGAAACTAATCTCGTATACTAATATATATATATAATATAACCAACAGTGTGATTTTTGGGTGTCTAAAATTGGGGTACGTCCTCGAAGTGACCTATTGCGAAAATTATGACTCATTGACAAGTGGCAACCCCCTTAGACAAATCCACACAGTGAAGCCATCCAAGCCCGGTTCACAATATTTTCGGGGACCCCAATGATGGAGGAATCTTGAAAAATGTTCCTGGGTTTGTTCAAAATATGGGGGTGTATGATTAAACCTACGAGTAACATCATGGTGATATGTATGTACAACGGGAGCCGAATAGAATCGAATAGATCTTCGTTGGATGCGACTGATATGATCAACAATATGTAGCTTTGTCCAGACATGGAGGGATACTTCGATTTCGATCTGAACAGGAGAAATGATGATAAACACCATCAAAATTGGGGGCACCCCATCCTTGAGACAGGCCCATATCTTCAACCCATCCCCGCGCTGAAAGTCCAAGGCACTCCACAGCCCCGCCGTTTCCAAAGGTGATCTCGACGTCTGACAAGGCGCCGGGCTTCACTTCCCAGTGGCCGTTCTTCATCTGAAACTCCACCAGCATCTTAAACTTCACCCACCTCAGATGGTTGACGAATTTACAAGCCCACTGCCAGGTTGACCCACCTCTTGCGATGTCATAAACCCATATAATAACCCACTCTTGGAAACTTGTCGGGTATGGTATGGCTTCAAAAAGAAGGGCGCGTGGGCACTTGGAAAATGCAAATGAAAGAGTAAGACTCTGACACAAACTCTCAGTTCCACACCTCACATTAAAGAGTCAAGCACGGATTTGTCAAGATTTGCTCCGTGAGCAATCCACAGCATGTTTACAAATTTGATCAAATTTGCTATCATGATCACAAATCACGACATTACAGCAAGTTTGACTTCTCAGAAGTTTCAATAAAGCTTCCCTAAGCGGCACGGATGTTGAGGCATTTGCGAAAAAAAACAGGTTGTGCTGCATTTACATAGTTTTTGCATTGGCATTGCAGGTTTCACATTTGTTTGGCCTTGCCGAGACGTATTCAACCACAATTGACGCATCTGAAACAACCTTCATAGAGATTGATCAGGTGAGAATTGTACTGTATTAACTTCTAGGCGATGGATGGCAACAGTCATCAAGATCGCAACCATGAGCATCTCAAAGAAGCAAGAAACTGCCCTAAATCAAAAGCTTCAGGAAGCCATTGAACCCATTTGCGTGAAGGCTGAAAAGCCAGTCAACAAAGCCAGCAAAGTCAAACAATCAACACACAATTTTGCAATGATGAAAACGACAAGTGTAGTGTAGGGTGCAACATGCCGAAAGCAAGGGCAAACTCAAAGGAAACTGACTGCTCCAAATTAGATCCAAAGAGCAGTGGCCCCCTGTTCAGGCCTCCAGCTCTTTCCGTGCCCATACGCGCATGATGCTCCATGGGTCGAAACACATGATCCAGCACACTTGCATGACGCACGAAGCCAGGCACATTCGACTTGGGCGCAGAAAAGTCGATTCCATCAAGGTACATCCTTGGCTGGCAAGGTGACCTGGGTCGGATCTGGAACCAGAGCAACCAGAGCAGCCTGTTCAATGTTTTTTACCTTGTGGCTGATGTTGATTGATGGTCCTATCAACAGTACGCACACGCGCTGTTGCCATGCTTCTTGATGCTCTTTTCACATGTATGCGCCAAAAACACGAATTGATGGTCGTTGCTTTTCTGCTTGACATGTGCATGCGTTGGCAGCTGTTCTCAAACTTGACACTATTCACCCTGATGATTCTGCTTTACTCAGATGCATACACTAAGCGCCATCGTTTAATGCGTCCTGATTGCAGGCTGAGGTTCTGAACAAAAGCCTGTCCATTATCAGGACCACTCAACATCAAAGAAAAGGTGGTATCATCACTGCGTCGGAGTGTTCCACGCAAATCAAATTTCCTCAGCTTCTCGGAAAGCTAAGGAAAATTCGACAAGTCTGTTCAAGGTGTGATTTGTTGGGTGACATAGGCCAAATCAACTTGATCCTTACCTACAAGGGTCACCACTGGCAAAGGCTACTATAGCCCAAGCCAATAGCCAATTGATGGCACACTTTGTTGCCATATGCAGTCAATCACAAATGACAAATGTCCAAAAATGCAGAGAACTGGGATACGTTGCTACTAATGGACCACAATCTGCAGTCCTTGCGTCACCAACCCCATCCAGGACCATGAGATTTTAGATGATGCCAAAATATCCAAAATTTTGTGCTTCTCATCCACTCCAAGCTTCACCAATTGCATTTGCTGTATGATCACATACACAATCCCCAGGGCTTTGGTGGGGAAGGCCTTCCGCAACACTGCGTCGCCAAATTTTTCAGGCGGCCAGTGCAGGTTCAACAGCTCCTGCTGCGTTGAGGCTAAGGCTCTGTGGGAACCAATGGGCAGAATTGACTTCGGCACATGGATGGGGAAGACACAAATTTTCTTTGGCAAAGCTACGCTACAGGATTCCAGGATTCCAATGCAAGACAGCACTCAGCTGAATCTCAAAATGCGCGGGAATCTCCTCAGCACGACAATCTTGACTCTCACTGCTTCCAGTAGTGATAGGCACTGCAGTTTGGTGACTCCTGACATCCTCCGCGGTGTCCTGAAATGCGAAATGAACATATTCAAGTGTCCTGCCGTCTTGGATTCACTACCCTGCTAGCTCTGAAAAAAAAAACATCCCTCACCGGCGGATGGACAGGAGTGGTCCCTAAGCACTTAGAACAATCACAGAACACAGCTTTGAACTCACTTAGAACAATTACAGAACACAGCTTTGAACTCACCCATCATCTTTTTACAGCGGCAGTCCCATTCCCAGCCTTTGAAAGCACGGAGCTTGCCGCCGGCACCACGACTTCCTCGGAGTGGTTTACCTCCAGGGTCGCTGCGGCTGCCTTCAGCGCGGCATGAACACTTTTTTGAGTGCCGAGATAATGCTCCTCCTCCCGATCTTTCATCACCTGGGCGGATTCCCTTGGTGGCAACGGATTTCATGGAATTTCATGAAATCTCCATTAAACGGAAGGGTTCACAACATGGAACAAGGATGAACCAGGTAATGCGTTTTGACTGCGGCTGGCTTTTCTGCAATGTAACTACTGTGCATTTGGCCTTGCTACCTTTGGTCCCTCCGGTCTGGCCTCCACCAGGTTCCGTTGCACTTGGCCATCCTTGAGTAGGTATCCTTCTTTGCCTGTGCATGTCAACGCTCGGACCCATTCTGAACCCACCCCGCACCTGTTGCTCCACCCTCTGTGCCTGCTTCATGTGATCCGTAGTTCCACTCCGAATAAGTTGCTCTGGGATCCCTGAAGCGAACCTTTTGCACGCTGATTGCAGTGGCCATTCGCGTCACCGCATTCTGAGTCCCACACAGGTGGTGGATGGCTGCAACTTCCTTTCCCCAAAACCATGAGTTTGAGTTTTGCTTCTTGTAGCGCACTTCGAGGCAAAAACTGCCGTCCGACTGCCTTTTAGAGTCTACAGAGGTGGATCCTTCGGCCATGACCGAGAAAAGATCAATATCCAACAGGTACTCACTCGAAAGGCGATCGCTGCCATGTTCATTCAGAGGCCAAGAGAAATAACCACAGTGAAGCACAGCCATCACAAGAGTAGAGAACAGTTGCCTGCCAGAATAGTGGTGGAATAGGTTAGTTTCAAACACGTACCCAAAGTCTTGCCGTGACCGTGGCGCAAGGACATCTCCAAGCATCATTTCCACATCGATGACGGTATCAGCAAAGGTCCCAATCTCTAGCCCAATGGTGTCTTCGGCTGTCCCCCAAAGGTCAAAGTGCACAGTCATCTCTGCTCCGTCAAATCTATCCACGAACCCCTTCTCTCCCTGGGGATTCACTTCAGCCGGCCTTTGGAAGGTGACTGGCACAGCACCATCCAACAAGCTGTTCTCCTCTGGGCGGTTCTTCAAGGGAACCGGCGGCTTCACCGACCTCTCTTTTTGTATGAATGTTAGGCCATCCTTATGCGCAGTGAACAGAACTCGCCCATCAGGTTTGAGTTCGACTCCAAGAATGGCACCTGGGTAACGAGATGCGAACAAAATCAGATCATGATAGAAGATCATCAACGAAAAACTAAAGCTTTCTAACCCAATTAGAGCAGGGTCCGCAGCTGTACGCTCAGCCCATCAGGATGAAATGCTTCAGTGGCGCTTGAGGCTTCGAAGGTCCGCCGGAACACTGCTGGCAAACGCAGGAGAGCATTGCTGAACTCAGCTATGCGAACCTCCCATGGATGCAATGTGGGGAAAGAAGTTGGAAATTTGCAGGCTTTTAGACCACTAGCAGGAAATGGATGACAAATGAACCTCGGTCTGTCAAAGTTCTCTCTCTCTCTCTCTTTCTCTTTCTCGCTGTGAATCCAGGAATTCGAAGTAAAAGCTGGCCTGTTCCAACCCCCCAGCACTCTGCAGCACCACTTCATCATCCCACCTCCCAAGCAATTGCGGACTTGTTGTCCATAGACCTTCTGCAGTTCTGCACCAGGCCAGATTCCAGGCGCAGGGAGTTGATGTCAAACACGAAACCGTTCATTTCAATTACGCAACTCTCTGCGTTTGCGATTGGCTCAAGAAGGTGCTCCTGAGCACAACATGTACAGGACATCATTCAGTGACCCAATGCACTGAGCCACTTCCAATCTCTGAAATTCAAAAAACAAAATGCACAAGGAGTTGCAGTTGACTGCAATCACCAATAGGAAAGTGACATGAAAGAACAACATGCAAGCATCCACGGAGCCTATGGTCACTATGGTCTCTCAGTGGTTTGGTTTGTTCCTTCGGAATTTTGATCCAACTGCGATTCACCATCGCACAACGATACACCATCGCAAGTCGATACCCTCCTCATTTAAGGGATTCTAAGGGTATTTTCAAACAATTTGTGCAAGGCCAAGTAACCAATTCAAAATCATGTTCCAGACCTGGTACCCTCCAGCAATAGGATAACATAAGAAAAACATCCACCTGTCTCCAAGCGTCTCGCAGGCCGAAGGCTCCCAGTAGGCTGCGGTTCATTTGAACGACAGCCTCCTGATTTTTCCTCGAAAACCTTGGTTTATTTATGACAGACCAACTTCCTCTGGCCAATACCCATTTTTGTCCAAGCAGTGTGTCCGCACTAAGGGGTTCGTACGCTGTTAAAGGCCGGGTTTGATTGTAGGTTCAGGTTGTGGTCTGCATTTGACTCCGCTCGCACAAAAGTTCCCTCTCGGATCTTCGATGTTCGTTTCGACCGCGCAAGGTAGCACAAAACGATACAAAACGTACATACCACTTTGCCATGTTTTGCCTTCATCGGAAGCTCTATTTTTGCCGCTGCACAGTGACCGTTTTTCGAATCATGCGCGTCTTGCATGGCATGCTGCGTCACATGCATAAGACATTCGGCACTTGGAGGGTCTCAACTTTCTTTTGTGCGGAAGGCACGTTCCTCCAACCATCCTTGTAAAGGAGTCCTGACGCACGGGTCTTTAAAGATCTTGGCGCAAACGTGTTACTTTCCCTAAATGGCTTCCCCGACACTGCTTGGGGTCCCTTCAGGGAAAAATGATTGCTAAATGTCCCCTTGGAAATGTCAAAACTGTGAACCATTGATTGCACATCGCGATAAATGTTCCAGTAGTACCGCACAAGGCGGTGGCGGAAGTTTCAAAAATAGGAAACCTATAGGAGAGGTTGGTTGTTGTGAATCAGGGATGGCAGAGCGAAGCCACTGATGGACTGAAAGGTGCTTGAGGTCTCCTCTCTTTCTCTCTCTTTCTCTCTTTTTCTCTCTGTTTCTCTACCTACCTATCTGTCTGTCTGTCTATCTATCTATTTATCTATCTATCTATCTATCCATCCATCTATCTATCTCTCTCTCTGTCTGTCTATCTACCTGTCTATCTGCAAGCTTGAAAACCAAGCTATTCTGCGAGATGTCTTCCGTGTTCAAAGTTGGCAACATCAAAAACGAAGCAATTCTGCGAGACTTCCTCAATGTTTGAACTTGACAAAAAACAAAGCAATTCTGCGAGACCTCTTCATTTTTCAAAGTTGACAACATAAAAAAACGCAGCGATTCAGCGAGACTTCCTCAATTTTTTGCTTTTGACAACATCAAAATCAAAGCAATTCTGCGAGACTTCTTTTAGAATGGAAAGTTCAGTGCATCGCTGACAGCCTCGTACCAATGCGTTTTGCGATTTTTCCACTCCACCTGTCTAAAGTACTGCGCCTGCCACGAAAAAGTGATGCCAGGTCATACGAAGTGCTGCACCTGTCACGCAAAATCATCTCAGCAAACCTGAAGATTTGATGCTCCAAAATGCAACCCCTCTCAGGAAATCAGCGCCCTGACCTCCTAACATCTCTGATGAACATGTCTCCTGTATTGCGCCTGCCACGGAAAATGCATCTGTGCAGATCCTCTTCAAATGTCCCACGCCTGCCATCGTTTTTAGACATGCTACAAAACCCTCACGCTTTGCTAAGGTGCACAATCCCTTGTGCCTGCGCGCCACAACGGCGTGCACTTTTTCGACCTCTCAACTTCCAAAAATGGTCCGAAGCTGAGGTGCTTTGTGCATTTTGACTTGGAAATGTGCTTCGCGCGCCACAACGGCGTGTAATTTTTCATCTCTCATCCGGGCAGCTGGCTCCGCACCCGCCGCTTTAGCGAGCCTACTTTTCGACCCTCCGGAGCCACAAATCATTGGAAAAACACAGTGTTTCGCGACTTTCCTACCTGTTCGCGCATCTGCATCTTCTTTCTTCTGACTCTTTCTCTTCTACTCTTCTCTCTTCTAATCTTTCTCTTCCTCTTCTCTCTGCCTCTGCCCTGCTCTGCTTTTCATCTGTCCATATTGTCGGAAGTTTGACTTCTAAACTTCCTTCGATATGTATGTATATACTACTTCTTCACTATGAGTTGTGATCATCATCCCAGCTAAGATGGAAGAGGAAAAGAAAACATATTTGTAAGCACTAACAAGGCATGGAGATTGCCCACCACCCTTGCGATGGTTTCCCACCCACCGCCCTTACACCACAAAGGCTTCACAGCCTGCGGCCTGCTGTCGAGTAACGATGGCCGCAGGTAGCCCTCAAAAAGCCCATTGTTGACACCTGCACTCACAAGAAGCTTGATGGCGGCTGCGGTAATGGCCCCACAATGGTCTGGTAAAGGATGCTAATGGTCCTGAATTCTGGTTGAGGTTGGAGATAGTGGTGGAGGTTTTGCCCTGTTGCGGGTCATGATTCTTGCTTGACGCGGGTAAGGAGCGAAGAAACAAATGCAGGGTCCGATATTGAGGCAGTGTTGCTACATGTTGCTACTGATACTAGCAGGTTGAAAATGATGATGTTGCATCACAGTGAAACCCAGGGGTCCCTGCTCCTCCGCCTCCAGGATGCACCCAGGAGGACCCCAGGGGAACAGGGGAAGTGAAGCTGTGAAAGTCTCACGGAATCGACAACTCCAGCTAACACCGTGCTAAAGCAAGGCTAGCCTTCGCCATGATTCTCATGAGTATGGCTGAAATGAGTTTCCTCTGCTCATTCTGCCCCTTTGACATTGTTCTGTAGACACATCGTGGTCACCATCATTGTCATCGTCCGGTCCATCCTCCTCCTCCTCCTCCTCGTCGTCGTCGTCATCATCATCATCACCATCATCATCGTCATGGTCATCGTCATGGTCATCGTCATGGTCATCGTCATGGTCATCGTCATGGTCATCGTCATGGTCATCCTCATGGTCATCCTCATCAATCATCATCATCATCATCATCCTCATCCTCATCATCATCATCATTATCATCGTCATCGTCATTGTCATCGTCATCGTCATGGTCATCGTCATCATCATCATCATCGTCATCATCGTCATCGTCATCGTCATCGTCATGGTCATAGTCATCATCATCATCATCATCATCGTCATCATCATCATCATGATCATCATCATCATCATCGTCATGGTCATCGTCGTCATCATCATCATCGTCGTCATCATCATCGTCATGGTCATCGTCATCATCATCATCATCAGCAGCATCATCATCATCATCATCGTCATCATCGTCATCGCCATTGTCACGGTCATCGTCATCATCATCATCATCATCATCATCATCGTCATCGTCATCGTCATCGTCATCATCATCGTCATGGTCATCGTCATCATCATCATCATCATCATAATCATCACTATGATCATGGTCATGATCATGGTCATGATCACGATGATGACTATGACCATCAACATTCGTCTTGGTGCAGCTGAAATCTTCTGCCAGCACATCAGTGGTGAACATGCCATGGAGACTTGCCTGTCTTCCATCCGCCACGGCCGCGAAAGTGGACCTCTCAGGGAAAGTCATGCACTCACTGGGAAGGACAAATGACTATTTATATATATATATATATACATTTGTATATATACATATACATATACATATACATATATATATATATATTGTTTTTAAATTGATGTAGGAATTCTCTCCTGGTCTCGGGCTGTTTTTCTTGTTATTTGCAGCAGTTTGGGGCTGAGATTAAAACCTCTCATTTGCACAGTAGTTGCGGCCTGTTGGTTTGAGCTTTGAATATCATTTTTTGTATCGTATGTGCCGCACTTTGGATTTCTGTTTGTAATTTGCGTGGTGTTCGCAGCGTTGCGGAGATAATAAGCTAATATCTGCAATTTGCATGGAATGTGCAGCAGTTTGAATTCAAAACCTGTACTTTGCATGGTATTTGCATCATGTTGTTCGCATGGTATTTGCATCCTGTTGAAAAATATTCTGATTCACATTTCTTCCAGCATGTTCGAGCCTGAATATCTGATTGCTCATTGTTTGGGCAAATTTGTTGGCGCTTAGTTGCTGTAGGATTTTGCAGCTGGAACTTGTCGTGCAGCTGGAACTTGTCGTGCAGCTGGTATTTGCAGCATTTTGAAATTTCTGCTCTTGGTTTTGCCGTTGTTGTGTGATGTTTGGCGCAGTCTTTCTTAGCGTTCCGGCTCTGGTTGATATTTTCTTCTTTCTATTTTATGTTCCTGTGTTGTTTGCACAATAGTTGCGGCATATTGGGTATTGAATCTCCCCCTTTCGATGCTATTTGCTGACATTTTGGAGTTTGCATTGCTCACTTATTCGGTTCGCACGCTATTTGCAAAGTTTGCTTTTGTAGTAGCTGAGCAGTTTTGCCTCGAAAATGCATGATTTCTTGGCGGGAAATAAAGTGCCGAGTTCCTGGCGCAGTGCGGGGGGAATTGGAGGGAGCAGCTCCTCCTGAAAGAAAATGAATGCATCTGTTCAGTCGTTGGCATTGTTTCCACTTTTCCAGGGATTTTGCCTTTCTTGGCATTTGTTGTACAATTTTCCCCTTTTGTTTGCAATGCTTGCAACGTATCAGCATATTGAAGCTTGAATCTCTAATTTGAACAGTATGTTCAGCATTTGCGCGTTTTGGGTTAAGATTCCTGGATCTTGTTTTGGTTGTTTACGATTGGTTTTCATAGCAATCTTGCCGCTTTCGTGTTTTCAATGTTTCCCTTGTTTGCACGTAGTTGCGGCATGTTTTGAAACTCAAGCTTTATTTGCATGGTATTTCATTGTTTCCGAAGGCGAAACAAACCTGAGAGGAAAGGAACGAAAGCCAGCGAGGGTTGAATGGGCGGAGCCCTTTGTAAAGTTCCACCCCTGCCACATCTCTTTTAGCGAACACACCTCCTTAAGCGCTTTATCCATCACAAGCTTCACCCAAAAACCGCATGACCCAAGGATAAGATCCATCAAAGTTCAAGCATGACCTGCCCCGAAACGCGTTGAGCTTCAACAATCCACTAGTAAACGACTTTAGCGGGCCTACCTGATAGCAATAACCTTTCTGTGTCTATAGCTCACATTATTTAAAAAGAATGTCACTTTGTGGTTGGGCCATCTTCAATGCGAAGCACAACGGGCCATATCAGCTGATGGAGTTCGTCTGGTACCAACACCCTTACTGCTCGACCTCACAGTTTGCGGACCAGGGGGGGATCGAAGCCCTACTGCCACCTGGTACATGGGAAAAGGCCTCCCATATCCACCCTGATTTCCCACATAAATCAATTGAATTTCCACATTTTTAGCAGCAATAGTCGGCCGTAGTCGGCCACTGCCCCCAGACCCCCTAATACGCACTATGTTCGCAACCAACGACTAAGCCTTGCCTGTCGGCTGGCTTTCGTAAAAGTTCATTGGTGGTGGAGAGGGTTTGGAGAGATTGCGGGGGCGTCACCCGCCATGGCCTTCCATCACAGGTTGCTGTTGGAATTGATTGTTCTTCTTCTTCGTCTTCTTCTTCGTCTTCTCTGCTCTTCTCTTCCCTTCTCTTCTCTGCTCTGCTCTGTTCTTCCATTCTCTTCCCTTCTCTTCCCTTCTCTTCCCTTCTCTTCTCTGCTCTTCTCTTCCCTTCTCTTCTCTGCTCTGCTCTGTTCTTCCCTTCTCTTCCCTTCTCTTCCCTTCTCTTCCCTTCTCTTCTCTGCTCTTCTCTTCCCTTCTCTTCTCTGCTCTGCTCTGTTCTTCCCTTCTCTTCCCTTCTCTTCCCTTCTCTTCCCTTCTCTTCTCTGCTCTGCTCTGTTCTTCCCTTCTCTTCCCTTCTCTTCCCTTCTCTTCCCTTCTCTTCCCTTCTCTTCTCTGCTCTGCTCTGTTCTTCCCTTCTCTTCCCTTCTCTTCCCTTCTCTTCCCTTCTCTTCCCTTCTCTTCCCTTCTCTTCTCTGCTCTGCTCTGTTCTTCCCTTCTCTTCCCTTCTCTTCCCTTCTCTTCCCTTCTCTTCCCTTCTCTTCTCTGCTCTTCTCTGCTCTGGCTTCCCTTCCCTTCCCTTCCCTTCCCTTCTCTTCTCTTCTCTGCTCCTTCTTCTTTGTCTTCTTTTTTATTCTTCTGTTTATAGATTCTTCTCTTCATCTTGTTCTGCTCTGATTGTTCTTCCTCATCCTCTTCTTCTGGTTGTTGTTTCTTGGAAGTTGGGTCACAGCCACATGATTTTATGTTTTTATTCTTACGAGCCATGTGAGTGCAAGGCAGAACTTTATGGTCTTCGGTCGGTTTTATGGGTCTGGTGCCGTCTTACTTGCTCTGCTGCATTTTGGAGTTTCATCTTGGAGTTTGATGCTCTTACAATGAATTCACGGAGGTCAAAACTAACTCAGCCACCAATGCCACCAATGCCAGAGAAACCAGAAGCCAGTAGCCAAACGGCCAAAAAAAAGACGGAAGCCAAGAAGCCAAAGCCACAAAAGCCAACGAACAAGGAAGCCAAAAGCCACAAAAGCAGCACCTGACGAAATAGAGAGAGAGAGAGAGAAAGAGAGAGAGAATTTAAAAAAATAGAGAGATTTGACATACTTTCCTTTCTGAGCGTCACCTCTTGGTGGGTTCTATAATCACTATCAAAGAGCGATATTTCACCCCAGACAGCAAGAAAATGGAGGCACACATAAGATCTGTATATAGATCTCTGTTTGCATCGTTTGATCGCGCCTTCAACCTCTTGAAAATCCCAGATGTTCCAGCAGCATGTGCCTCAGGATCTCTCAGGGCCGCTTTTCGTCGCAGGCACCGGAATGAAAGGCAAACAAAGTAATTCCTCAAAAAAGGGCGTACAATATACACAGAACTCATGACCAGGCACTTGTACCAAAGGATCCAACACCTTGAGTAACAAATCATTGGCCCTCTCTTCTGCTGCATTCAGAAGCAATGGCATCAACTCATCAAGATGTTCGGCTTCTGCCACCAGCTTCAGCAAGGATTCGCTGACAACAAATCCTCAGCGCCAAGTCTGGACCAAAAGTAGGGCCAGCAGGTGCAAAAATCGATGTACAACCCAACCTTTCCAGAAGGTTGGTTCCCAGACCAGCTGGAGTAAAAGTTGAAAAGCCCCGAATCCTGCGAAGGGAGCAAGAAGAAAGAAAATAAGAAAGGAGGGATGGGGAGTTTTCAATGGTGACATGGGAGAAGACCTCCCTTCCTCTGTCGAAGTGCAGGATCAGTTCAACCGCAGGCACCAACAATGAGGCTGCGATAGTGAGAGTGAGAACCCAAAAGCCCGTGAACCAAGTTTCTGGATTTTAAAGTTATCCGGAAGCTTTCTGAGCCCTGATAATTACAACACCGGAAACTGACCCAACAAGTAGCCTACTTGCAACCCTTGCCCAGTTTCTACCTGCAACTCTTCCCAATTCCAAAGAGTTTCTCGTGAATGAAATCTTATGTTTGTACGGGCAAGCAACAGGTGCATGACTATGATGCAAGTGTCGATATTGGTGCAAGTTCTCCGCGAAGGTCTCCCGGCTTTCTTTAAAGGCCTCCCTGGTCTCTGGGTCTTGAAAAAAACTGATGACTGCATCGCGTGCCATCTCCTTGACATTGAAGTTTCTCATCAAAACCTGGCTGCCAAAAAGCCAACTGACCACCTAAACAACTCAAATATACTAGGCGTGTGTGTGTGTGTGTCACTGTGTCACTGTGTCACTCTGTCACATGCCGTACCCTTGGCACATTGCAGGCATGTGATGCAACAAAAAAAACGCAACTCTCGCCCAACCCGAGGCACATCCAACAGTGCGGCAGGTCTGGCATACCTCAGCCACGCTGCAAGTCTGGTGTCACTATGTAGGTCGGTTTGTCTCAAAGTATGGGAGCAACGCAACTGCTACTAACTACTAGTCAAAGAAGATAAACGCCATGACTGCATGGCACATGCAGAGTGGAACAGCACCTGTCATGTTACTTATGGCAAGCTGCCGAACAGGGAAGACTCGCTCTTTGGATTTTCCAATCATCGGGTTGCTTTGAGGGAAATTGTACAGCTTAAATCAGCTAAATTTATTTTTGCATGTTCCATGAGGTTCCTTCCATCCACTTATCGCAACCCCCAAGACGATTGAAAACTCAAATTCACCTAAGTTCAGCCATAAATCATAAATGATTGTTCTATCTTTTTGGATCTTTTTGGGGTTGCTATACTGAGTTTTTGTTGCCAAGGCACATCCGCACATACCCTGGCACTTGAAGGTTGAGAGTTCTGTTTGCGTCCGTCCCCCCTTTGAGGATCAGATTCGCCTGGGGATCGCTGCTGGATCTAATTTAATCATTTTGGCTGGCATGCAATGGCCATTATGTATCATTATGTAACATTATGTAACATTATGTATCTTTAAATCATGTAGGGACACTGAGATCTCTGAGAGTTTCCTCATTTTTAGATTTTTGAGCACCTGCAAATCTGAAACCAGACCACTGTCTGAATTCAACGCTCAAATGGTGCAATCGCGGCCGCCCTGGCACCTCGATGTAAAAGTTTTGCTGCTCATCCGGGAGTTCTGGAACCAGGGTCAAGGAACTGCAATGGTGGAACAAGCCACAAGAAAGCATGTAGAGAATGCCAAAGATGTTCTCAAAAAATTTTAATCAAGACATCACATTCTGCATTGTTTCCTTCTTTGAAGATTGTAGATCACGAACATGGGTAAAGAGAAATTGTTTTTCATACAGTTGGGGAACCAGGAAGATTCTCCAAGGCTGCCTTACTCTTTCCAACTCTCCAACACCTTCTAGAAGGTTCACCCCGTGCCTGGATTGAAGGGCAAGTAGTGCAAAGATGCCAAGAGGTTGATGGGAATTGCAGTCTTGAGAAGTTCAAAGAGTTTGTTCACGATCAGTTCTTTCAACTTCCCCCAGCTTCGCAGGACTTTGTCAATAACCCACTGACCTCGCAAGACAAATCCAGAGTTTTGGCAGCTATGGCATGCATGGGGAGAATGAAACAGGCCGCTTAAAACATGGCCTCCAACTGGCTGGGTCGGAACTGCTTCATCAAAGTGTCTAATCAAATTTTAGGCATATAGGTTCTTCGAATGACGAGGCGCTATGAATCGTCAGCTCAAAGTGGTCCACCTTCTCCGAACCCCTCACGAGTTCCTAAGTACACAGCCACTTGATATCGCTTCATGGCTGTTGAATGGTTTTCAACTCATAAAGCTGAGTTGTGGCAATATCAACCCGAAATCTAATATATTTACTCTATATCTACTCATGTAAGGACATTAAACATATGTCATAATACGCGCCTAATCAACTCAATGATATAAAGCGGGCCTCCTGCTAAAAGCGCAGGACTGCTGAAATTGGGAGGTGCCACCGCGAACCAATCAGCGAATGGCAAAACTCTTTCAAGGTCGTTGAGAGCCAGGAGCAAAGGAAAAATTGTACAATACAGACCAGCATGCAAATAGAATAAACATAACATATAACTGCGCTATTGATCTAGCCCGGGGGAACACAGGAAAGTAGTGGTTGCCCTTCTCACCCAAGTTGCAGCTAGATCCCACCAAGCACGCACGAAGTTGCAAAGCGTAGTTCTCCTTTTAGATCTCTCCTCAGAAGCGGCCACGCCGCCTGTAGCATTGCGTGGCATCAAGGGCGCCCGTAAACCAAAAGGGCAATGATGCCACATGAATTGGAGTTGGCGAACTTGAAATGACAAGAAACAAATGGAAGTCTCACAATGCTGCATGCCCTTGCATTGACACAGGCCAGAAAGATAAAAACTTCCCTCAGGCCAAGGAAAAATGTCCGCCGTACTCGCAAGGTGCAGCAAATGCCTCCTTCAGTATGGCGAAAGTCGCATCAGGCCAATTTCTCTGCCAACTGCTCGGACGGTTGCCAGTTCAGCACGAAGACACTAAGCTTCATGCTGCAAAGATCCATTCATCACCTCAAAAGGTACTCCCAGTAGCAAGGGGTCTTCAAAAGCTTGTAGTAGGGCAGCTCGATGCTGTCGACCGACTCCATTCCATTCATCAGCACGGATTGGGACCACAGGAACGTCAGTGTCCCCTCGATCTCGCACCTTGGAAGGTAGTCGTCGATGGACGGCTCCAAGGAGTCGATGAACTGCTGTGGCAGGCGGTTCACCTCAGCATCCGACCAAACTTCCCATCCAGCTTCAATCAGATGGGCGATCTCACCAGCAGTGAATCGCTGGCAGTCCGTGCTGGCCCTCCATCTCGGCGAAGGGTCAGACTGCTGTCCTTCATTGTGAGTCTCCAAAACTTCGGTCTGAGCGACCTGGTCAGCCAAAATGCCTGGTTCTTCAGCAGCAGCCAAGTTGGCCTAGGCTAATGTACTTCACGACATCCAGCTCGGATGCCCATATGATACACAAAAACCAGGGTGATCGCAAGGAAAAAGATCACCGCCAGGACGTGGGTGAATTTGATCACCACCACAAACTCAAGCTCATAGGCCTCGGCCGTCTCGTCAGAGTCCAAATGACTCCAGCTGTGGTCTTCGGCGCTTTTGCCTTTTTGTGTTGATCTGCGTGGTAATGCCTCTTTAAGCAGTACCTCTTTCCATCCTCGACTGGTAGTCCACAGCCAGGGAGAACGCAGACCTTGATTTCTTCTTTGTCCTCTACATCTCTTCCAACTTGTAGATCCCATCTTGGATCATCTTCGTTCTTTCGAATTCCTTGGCAGCCGGGTCCAAGGTGTCTTGTTCTTCTTGTCGCACTTCCTGCCTGACATTCTTCAAAGCCGTGCCCTCTGGGTCGTGGCGCAGGCAGCGCATGCGTCTTTGAAGAGTAGCAGCGAGCTGCTGCCGGGCAGAAGTCTCTGTGGTTCCATCAGCCAGCTGCTGATGCAAGTTGCACCACCAGAAAACCCCACCAAGAGCTTGCATGCGGTCGTTGGATATCTTCAGCTCGATGGCAATGCGTTTCTCCTGAAGTTTCATCCCAGGAGCCTTGGACTTGCTGGCGTCATAGGGAGCACGAGCATCTGCAATGCAAGGTGAATCCCCCAGCCAGCGCATGACTTCTTCTTGGTCAGGTCGACAACTTGGCCAAATCATGAAGCCAAACAAAATCTTTGCCCATTCCAGATTGTCCACTGCAGCAACCAGTGCTTGTACTTCAGCACTGGGAGAGGATCTGCACACCGTTGTCAGCTTTCTTGAAGCCCAGTCGATCACGGTGAAGGGAAATGGGCGATTGCCACCGATCTCCTCTTCCGTGGCCGCAAACAACAGCCATGACCCATCAGGTCTGGTGCTCCACGATGCATGGCCGTAGATGCTAAGGCGTGTAGTTCATGCAGCCGCCCATGTCCTCGGATTTGCGGGTGAATGTCAGAGGTGTCTTTGGCGAACCTCAAGGTTTTGTTCACTTCCAAAAGCTCGGTCTGGTTGGCCATGCCAAACCCCCAAGCAGACCACGGAGTTGGCTATTGTGTAACCCTTTCTATGTAGTCAACGCCGCCAAATCGAAAGTGGTGCAGGAGGATAGACAACCTCTCAGCAAAGCAGGTCGGTTCACCATGAGGTTCCCGAGCATCTTCTTTGCATTGGACCCCTTCCCCTGCCGACAAAATGTCATCGACATGGAGGCAGAAGATACCATAAATCACGTAGCTGTTACCCTCGTGCTCGAACACTTCAAAGGATGGATCACCATCACAGGCCAGTCGGGTTGACATGTAGGTGCAGCCGTCGAGCTCATGCTTCCAAAGCTCGACCTCTTGTCCGATTGACGGGGTGCTTGGACATCGCCAAACGCAGGCTTTGTCACCTGCATCACCTCATGTTCACGAAGTCCCAACATTTCACAAAGGAGCCGGCGCATGTCAGCCGAAGGCTCCCCATAGATCTCGACTTCGTTTCGATGTAGTCGGACTGCAGGAAGGCGGACTTGACGTCCATTGTTACCTGTTTCCACCGTTTGGTGTAGGCGAGAAGTACAGCCAAGTACTTGCCCAGTCGAGACACCCTTGGTGATTCAGTGTCAAGCTTGGACTCGATGACATCCTTGTGCTTGAAGCCCTGAAGGATGCCCGGAGCATGGGGCTTGTTCTCCTTGTACCTAATCTCATCGGCACAATGGTGCCTGGAGGGCCGTCAGATCGCTTGAAAGGGCGCCAAGCATCGTTCCCATGCCAGGGCACAAGGGCAGCTCGCTTAGCTTCTGGGAAAGCTCGCATCTCCTCTGCAGCCAACTTGCTCTCGGCAACTGCCATGTTGATCTCCTCTTCAGCCACCTCGATCATGTGAAGCTCCTCTATTCTGGCCTGTTTCGGCCTGGACCATCACCTTCGTGTCGAAGAGGAGGAGGTTCTTGTGGAGGCGTTGGTTCTTCCGGAAGTCGTCCAGAAGGAGGCGGTCCATCAAGTCGTCGGGCTTGTTCATGTGAAAAATAACTGGCAGCTCGAACAGCTTGCTCATAGAAGCGCTTGTCACGCGCCCGGGTGGTGACATCGTCCGGAGGAATAGGAGGAGAGTCCTCCTTTTAGCCCACAACACCCTGAGCTGAGCCTAGTGCTCCAGGGTGCTGCTTCTCAAAGGCCTTCTTCAGGGCCCTCTGAGCCTCCGTCATCTTCTCCGTGTGATCGTCAAGATCTTTGTCACGGTTCTCCACCATCTCATCAAGCGCGGTCTTGTCAGTGGTTTTGGCTTCTGACTCGCTCTTCTCGCTGTCATCATAGTCGACCCAGAAGTCTCGCAGAGGTTGTGGCAGCTTGGCCTTCTTGCGCTCTGGTTGGACTTCAGGGTCATTTTGAAGGGCAGATGACATCTTTGGATCCATCTTCGGATCTGGTATTGTGGAAGAGGTTGTTGTTTCGGTTTCAGCTTCAACTGCAACTGCCGGTCGTTTCGCATTCGGTGGGTCAGCTGGTTCATGAGGTGGGGCATCTCCAGGTGCGTGAGCGGCTGGCATAGTGCCCCCAAGCTGAGGGAAATCCTCAGGATTTTGGGCCTTGGAGGCAATGTCGATTGCACGACTTTCACAGGCTTGAATGCTTCCAGCAGTCGCTCTGTCAAAAGGTCGCTTCATGTTTTTGAGATGCCCAGGCCTGCTTTGCCGCTCATTGCGCTCCGGGATGCTCTCAAATCGCAATTGTTGACGAGTTGCTCGCACCAGAGAGCTCCCATGAACAATCCAATAGACCATAGTCTTGCGGTCCAAGGAAGCTTCCACTGACACCACCAGAGCTGGCCCGTGCCAGCGGAAGGGATCAAGCTTGTGGGCTTGAGGTTTCCAGTAAAAAACATAGTCCCCAACCATCAGCTCGTCAGGGCAGCTGTGCGGACAGCCAAGTCGTAGTTGGCCTGATGGAAGGCAGTCGCTGCTTTCTGCTTGATCTCAAGGACCTTGCCCAAGTCAGTTGAATCACCAAAATGTTCTGGCCAGGGCTCATCGCTGTTACCTCCTTCAGCAGGAACATATCCAAAAGCCAAAGTGGCAGGTGTAGAGCCCTTCACCGAAGACAAACGGTTTCGTTGATGTCCAGTCACCATGATGGCCTTTTCAAAACTGATCTCTGGCATGTCTTTCTTGAAGATCTCCAGCATGCGACGGCGCACAGCATGATTGCACTCCAGGATGCCCAGTCAATGGTGAGCGCCACGAGGGATCAGATGAGGGATCAGGTCCAGCGAACTTCTCACCTTGGTGTGGCCCTGAAGCGTCCAACCGCAAAATGGCCGGAAACCAAAAAGTTTTGGCTGAAGTGGGCTCGAAGAGTGCAATCTCCATCTCTGCAATCTCTTCCTTGATTTCCATGTTAACCTCATAGCGACTGAGCTCATCCATAATGGTGAAGACTGCACGTTTCTTGCCATCCCATTCGATGTAGAAAGTGTCGATGGCCACCGAATGGTGGAAATGTGGGGACTTGTCAAATCTCGCCACTCCCACATTCTTCGGCTGGGCACGTCCCAAGCATGTTGGACATTTGTAGCGTCGCGCCACCTGGACAAACTCATTGGGAAGATGGCGGGTCTTCACCGCCAGAACCACCTTGGAGCGGCTCGGATGCCCAAGTTGTCGATGGAGGCTGGCCACAGATGTCAAGACTTTAGGTCCACCGATCTTGACCAACTCCTTGTTTTGCTCAAGGTACTGAATCTCCTCAGTGGATTTCTCGACAACTTCCAGGGTCATCAGCTCGGCTTGCCCCCTGTGCCTCCAAGCCATTTCCATCACAGAGTATACTATAGGTGGTTGCCAAGCCTCTGGGCCAGCTCTGGCTCGTAGTTCTGCATCTTCTTCAGCACAGCGCCGCGTCCCATTATCTGAACGTGGCCATGCATGCATTTGCATCGAAGATTCACAGCTTCGCAGACACGCCTGGAACTCGATCTGAACCGTGTAGGTTTCCTGACATAGCAGTAGGGTTTCCTTTCAGCCCTGTCCTGCTCCTGCAGCGGTCGAGCACTGTCTCAAAATAGCCCCGCATGGACTCCAAAGTTGGAGGTTCTCAAAGGTCGTGTCATAGACCAGACGCTTGCCGTTGTTGCGGATGTCCTTGTAGAAGGTCAAGTGCATGGGTGTCCTCCTCAAGGGTTCTGAGATTCTTGAGCAGTTCTCTGCGCCCTAGAGATCTGTAATTCAAGTTCTGCATGGGGGACCAGAGACGACATTCTGTCGGAATGCCGCCTTCTGCTCAGCATTTTCGAAGTTCCAGTTGGGCAGGGAGAATTGTCGAACCTCCACGTCATCATCATAGGCACGTTGCATAAACTTGCTCCAGTTCCCCTCACCCACATAGACTTCCCAAAACTTGAGTTTGCGTTCATGTTGTTGGCACTTGGAAGTGGTCACAACGACAAACTCATCGGCCTGCTCCTCGTCAAGCTCTACCTCCAAGTCAGGATCAAAATCGGACACCTCATCAGTGATGATGGAATCGACAAAAGTTTCATGGTCGACCTCCTTAGAGTTGAGATCCTCGAAGTTCATGACATCCTCGAGCTCATCAAAGATGTTGAGTATGTATTGGAGTGAAGGCCGGTTTGACCTCAACGTCACCGATCCCCACCGTCTTCTTGCCATAGTTCGCCACAACATCCCAGGGTCTGGACGTGCAAGAAGCAGTGGGGTGTGACCTGGCAGCACATGCACGATCAGCTGCCTCCAAGTCTTGCCAACACAAACTGGAAGGTGGGCCCGAAAAAGGTGAGCGCACCATTGCTCCATCTCCAAAAACGAAAATCTTTGTTCTCGCGATCAATCTCCGGCTCCATGTTCCTCAAACTGAGATAGTCCACGATCTTGTTCCATGCAGCTTCGCCACAAACTGCGCGCATGGCTCCACAGTCCATGATTGCCCAGCCAGCAGCCTGAGAGACAAAGTTGATGCTATCATGGATTTGGTAGTCCACAGGGATCTGGCTGACCCTCATTCACAAAAGCGTCCTCGATCATGGAAATGTCCTCAGGGACTTTCTTGATTCCACTGGCTGGCAGTCAGTATCTCTTGGATCGTGGTCCATGTTGGGCCGTGCTGCCGCTTGCAGTTGATTTCCCAGTTGGTTTGCTCTGTGTCGAAGTTGCGGATGCTGTGTCAGTACGTCCACGCCGTCCAAAAACAAAGTGACGGGCACCTGGCAAGGGGTGATTTCCAGCTTCCATGTCCTTTTCCTTTTGACTTGCCTTTGCCACTGGACTTGCCTCGTCCTTTTGATTGGCCACCCTTGGACATGTCGATGGCCACCACAGGGTAGAAGCCGCGGCTAAGTGCCAGCTCCCTCATTTTCTTTCTCGGGTCCAAGTAGTTGATGTATATAAGCGTCTTCCACAACAAAGGAAGCTTCATCAAGTTCAGGAGGGACATCTTCATCAGCTTCACCCGCGCACTCCACCTCATGGATGTAGTCGTCGTAGTCATGGTCGAAATATTCATCGTCCTGGTAGTAATACACCTCATCGCCGTAGTGGGTGCCATCTTCAACTTCAGGGTCATAGTCGGTGTTGTCCAAGTAGTGGATGCCATCCTTGAGCACAGAGTCTTTGGCATTGGGTTTGCTGTCACCACCAAACATTTGAGTCAGCGCTTTGTCTACCGTCAGGTCACCATTGCACATTGCCTTGACCTGGACATGGGTCTACCGCGGCACACCTGACCTCGAAAGTAGATGCCAACCAGCAAGCAAGGGCCGGATGTCCACCTGGAATCCTTCAGCTTTTGCCACATGGTCTGATGACGGACCAAGTAAGCCTGGACTTCTCCACGTTCACGGTTGAACTTTTCAAAGAACTCCTGGCAGCGTTCAGGAAGCTCGACCTCCTCTTCATGCTGGAAGAGCTTGTCCAAGACCTTGAAAATGGGCTTGAACGGATCATCACTCAGCTCCATGTCATCAATCCAAACCTTCAGTTGCATCCCATGACAAATCCTGCATTGAGAGGGCACAAGGTATGCCCCCTTCAATTGCAACACCTCCACCACGTCGCCTGCATTGGCGTCCAAAAAGATCCAAGCGTCGCCGGTATGACCGATAGGTCGATTGCGTCAGTCCAGAAGCAGATGGTGCTGCCTTCGCTACGCCTGAGCCCAGGCCTCGGCTGAAACCTTGGCCTGTTTGACCACCATTTGCGAAAAACAATTGGCACCAGATGCATCACCACCATGGCCACCAAAGCTCTCGGCAAGGGCGATGAACAAGTTCAGGCCGTAGTGCCCGCGGTAGCCAGATTACGCTCCGCTACCAATATTGATCTGACCCGAGGGAAACACAGGGAAGTCGTGGTTGCCCTTCTCACCTAAGTTGCAGAAGCTAGGCCCCACTAAGCACGCACGAAGTTGCAAAGCGTAGTTCTCCTTTTTGATCTCACCTCAGAAGCGGTCATGCCGCCTGTAGCATTGCGTGGCATCAAAGGCGCCCTTAAACCAAAAGGGCAGTGATGCCACATGAATTGGAGTTGGTGAAGCTAACATGACAAGAGACAAATGGAAGTCTCACAATGCTGCACGCGCTTGCATTGACATGTATAACCGAAAGAAGTTTAGAAGTCAAACTTCCGACAAAATGGACAGATGGAAAGCAGAGATGGGAAGAGTCAGAGAAGAGAAGAGAAGAGCAGAGAAGAGAAGAAGAAAGAAGATCAAAAAAGAGAAAGTCTCAGAAGAAGGAAGATCCAGGTGCGCGAAAAAGTAGGAAAGTCGCGAAACATTTGTGTTTTTCCAATGATTTGTGGCTCCGGAGGGCCGAAAAGTAGGCTCAGTAAAGCAGTGGGTGCGGAGCCATGTGGTCAGATGAGAGATAAAAAGTTGCATGCTGTGGTGGTGCGAAGCACATTTCCAAGTCAAAAAATGCAAAGCACACCAACATCGGACCACTTTTGGAAGTTGTGATGTCGAGAAAGTGCATGGCACTGTGGTGCGAAGCACATTTCCAAGTCAAAATGTACAAAACACACCAACATCGGACCACTTTTGGAAGTTGTGATGTCGAAAAAGTGAATGGCACTGTGGTGCGAAGCACATTTCCAAGTCAAATTGTACAAAACACCTCAGTGTCGGACCACTTTTGGAAATTGAGACGTCGAAAAAGTGCCCGCCATTGATTGTGGCGCGAAGCACATTTCCAAGTCAAAATGTTAAAAACATGGCGGGTTCGGACCACTTTTGAACGTTCAGATGCCATTTCGCGTGGCGGGTGCAAGGGATTGTGCACCGTCTCAAAAATGAGCAAAACATGAGGGCTTTGTAGCATTTCCAAAAACGATGGCAGGCGTGGGACATTTGAAGAAGATCTGCAAAGATACATTCTCCGTGGCAGGCGCAATACAAGAGACATGTTCATCAGATATGTTAGGAGGTCCGGGCGCTGATTTCTTGAGAGGGGTTGCGCTTTGGAGCATCAGATCTTCAGTTTTGGGAAGATGATTTTGCGTGACAGGTGCAACACTTCGTATGACCTGGCCTCACTTTTTGTGGCAAGCGCAATACTTTAGACAGGTGGAGTGGTAAAATCGCAAAACGCATTGGTACCAGGCCGTCAGCTCTGCACTCAACTTTCCATTTTTGAAGGAGGTCTGGCAGAATTGCTTAGTCCTTGATGTTGTCAACTTTGAAAATTGTGGAAGTCTCGCAGAATTCTTTCGTTTTTGACGTTGCCAAGTTCAAAGATTCAGGAAGTCTCGCAGAATTGCTGCGTTTTTGATGTTATCAAGTTCAAAAACTAAGGAAATCTCGAAGAATAGCTTCGTTTTCAAGCTTGCAGATAGACAGATATAGCATAGATAGATAGATCGATCGATCGATAGATCGATAGATCGATAGATCGATAGGTAGATAGATAGATAGATAGATAGATAGATAGATAGATAGATAGATAGACAACTACAACTGCAACTACAACTACAAGTACCACTACACCACACTACTACTACAACTACAAGTACAAATATACTACGCTACATTACACAACACTAATTTTTATTACACTATGGTAATTACATCTAACTTTACTATACTACACTACACTAATTACACTACAACTACTACAACTACTACAACTACAACTACTACAACTACTACAACTACAACTACAACTACAACTCCTACTACTACTACTACTACCACTACTACTATGACTATGACTATGACTATGACTATGACTATGACTATGACTATTACTATGACTATTACTATGACTATGACTATGACTATGACTATGACTATGACTATGACTATTACTATTACTACTACTACTACTACTACTACTACTACTACTATTACTACTGCTATTACTACTGCTACTACTACAACTACTACTACAACTACAACTACAACTACTACTACTACTACTACCACCACCACCACCACCACCACCACCACCACTACCACTACCCCTACCCCTACCACTACTACTACCACTACTACTACCACCACCACAGCTACAACTACAATTACAGCTACATCACATTACACGACAGTACACTTGATAAAATGCAGCACATTACAGCTACACATACGAAAAACAAACACAACTACAACTAGGCTACATTACACAACACTACACTAATAGCGTTACATCACACTACAACTGCAACTGCCACTACATTGCACTACACGACACTACACTACAACTACAACTACCCTACTTTACACTGCAATGCACTGGACTACACTACACTATACCACGCTACAGTACACAACACTACAGTACACTACAATACACTACTACAACTGCAACTGCAACTACACTACACTAATTACACTACACTACAACTACAACTACACTACAACTACAACTACATCTACAACTACAACTGCACTACACCACACTACATCCAGTTGTGGTGAGGTGTCCACTGCAACCATTGCAACCACTCCAGAAAACACAACTCCAACCACCTTTCGGTCCATCAGTGGATTCGCTCTGCCATCCGTGAGTCACAACAACCAATCCTTCCTATAAGTTTCCTATTTTTGAAACTTCCGCCACCGCCTTGTGCGGTACTACTGGTATTACAATTTTACGGGTTGTGTCCAAAGTCTTTAAACAAAAAGCCGTTGAACGAAATCCTCTGCCACGGGTCGGCTTCCCAAACACCCTTCAGAATCGTCGCGCGCACACGGCCCGACAGTGAGAAGCTCATGGTACCTCGCTGCCCCTTGCGGAGCACGTCGCGATTGGCGGCAAAGTCCGCCGCCCAGTCAGCGATTTTCATTCCAGTAACCAGCTCGAAGCCTTTCATCACAAAATTGGCCTGACCTCGACATCTGACAAATGTGATCCAAATGCCAAATACTGCTATGTATGTTTGAAGACTTGGTGGGTTTGGCCCTAACATGTCACATTTTACGATAGGGAAAATAAAGATTCATTGGTGAACTTTTCACGACCTTTTTTGGACCAACCCATCCAAAAACACTAACTATAATATATTATGTACATATATATATATATAACCAACATGTGTAATATATATATATAGTAAATATAAATATACATATATATAATATATATATATATATATATAAACTGTCTGAGGGCAAGCGGACTTGTGAAAACTGACACTTAACAAGCAGTGGTTGGACAATATTCTATTTGAGCTTCCATACGTAACGGCTGGAACAAATTCTATTGTTGGGAAATGTTTCTGAAGCCTGCGATTCAGTTGATGCTCCTGCTACACGATGCTGACCTGACCTTTTGTCTGAGCAGAACATTTCATACGGGCAGTAAACTGTCGACTACGGAAGCATCACTAGAGTTACACTGAAACTGAGGACAAACCCAAGCACCGCCAGTGCTCCAAGAACATAACCCAAGTAGGTAGCATTGATGGGACTCAACATAAAAGCGTTCTCTTGGCAAAGGTCCAGCTTCCCATGTTTTTGCTTCGGCCTGGGGTTTTGTGGGGGAGTGCTCCGTTCAACTCAAACTCGAACTCATTGCGCTGGACTCTTCGAATGCTCAATTCTGCATTGATGGAAGTGATTTCAAACTCCTCGCATAGAAAGTAGATATCACTCTGCGGATTGGCTGGACTAGGGCTATAAACTTCGCGAAGGATGTAGCGGTGATTTGCCTCATCCCCACCTGCGATGTCCAGGTTGTCTTGTCTCATGCACTGAGCACGATCATCATTTACGAATACAAAGCCAGAACCCAAGTTGGGTCTGACTGCAGCGGTGGTCTGAAACCAACTGCCCCAAATGCCAGCAAATAGCCACAAGGCCATGGCGGACTCACCACAGATATGGATGGCTGGTGAAGTACATCACAGCATTGCATATTGCAGAGAACTGATAGGCCAAAAGGTCTCATGCATCAACACTTGTGTTTCCTGTGGTTCCCTGACGTCTGTTGAACACCAATCAATGTTATTCCAAGCAAAGCTGTCTGGCGTGCAGCACCGGCGCAGCGGCAACAACTCTTTCTAAGAGCTCGGGCCCTTTTTTGGGATCTGCAGGCGCCTGCGGTTCCAGAAGGTTCCAGAAGTCTTCACAGCCTCCATCTTTGGGAAGTCCGCCCTGCTCACATGATCCCAGGACAATGACCTGAAGAACCTGCAAAGGAATCAGCACTTATTCCTGCTGCAAATTTTGGTTTGACGCCTACTGGCCTACTTGCTTGACTAGGATTCGTACGGAGTTCAACGCAAAATAGCGACAAATATCCAATTGAGATGTGCATCAACTGGCAACTAGAAGCATTGGCTGCAACTGGACACTGCTTTTCTGCCGCGCTGGCAAAGTGGCACCTCTGTGCCAGAAAATGCGAAGCAGTTTGTGACAGTTCCGAGAACCGGCAGCCCACTTTGGCTGATCTATCAGAATTACAGCTGCAGCACGTGATCACCTGCCCATCAGTAAGCAACCTGGCCAAGAGCCCAGATTTGAAACAGCAGAATGCTCAGTAGCTCTATAAAAGCGGACCCCGGTCACTCTGACCAATGAATCAAAACTCATGTCATTCTTCCTATCAGCCCAATACAGCGGAATTCAAGCATAAACTTGGTGTGCAAAACCTCGTTTCCCTCCATCACGGCAACATTGTCCATAGGATTGTATGTTGGAGCTGCACGTGGATATATCCTGGGCAAAGCTGCGGTTCTCGTGTATGTGCGACATTAAACTCTTGGAGGGCTGATTTGCTCCGCTTGCAGCTCAAAATGTGAAGAAGCCGTGTCCCTCACAGTTTAGTTGCAAACAAGAAACGTATTCAAGTAAATCTCCCACAGAATGATCAAGAAGCAAAGGACATACACCGTGGTTTCGACAGCCTTGCCCGCGAAAGTCTCCATGAAAGCCCCTTCCTCCAAAGCAGCTTTGTCCTTCTCTCGGATGTAATCCCAGACGCTATCCTCCAAGGGCCAGGGTTCAATAACGGAAACCCAAGTCTCAGATAACAGGTACGATCCCTCAGATTGGCAATTTGACATCGACTCATCGCAGCGAATCTTGGAATACCAACAGCGTTGCAAGTAACCCCGATCCTCTGAGGATCCTTGTCTCGATTTTCCCAACTTCTTAACTTTTGCCTGAAGCAGAACAAATCAGCACTGTTGCTGAGGTTTCGGAGCGATGGAATTCAATATCAATTTTGTGACCAACACTTTGACTTGGAAACAGTGAGTCAAAAAATAAAGAGCACCATTCAAGTGGTCATGACTGATATTTCTAATTATTTATATATATAAATAAAGTTATGATATGTGTGTGTGTGTATGTGTGTATGTGTGTATGTGTGTATGTGTGTGTATATGTGTGTATGTGTGTGTATGTGTGCGTATGTGTGCGTATGTGTGTGTATGTGTGTGTGTGTATGTGTGTGTATGCGTGTATGTGTGTGTATGTGTGTATGTGTGTATGTATGTATGTCTGTCTGTCTGTCTGTATGTATGTATGTACGCATGGATGGATGGATGGATGGATGGATGCATGCATGCATGTGTATGTATGTATGTGGAATGCGCATAGTAATCTTGAGAAACCGTTTTTGTCAAACCCCATACTCTCAAGCCCAAAGAAACTAAGTTCAGCACCTTTGGTTTCACCACCTTCCGCACTCTTTTGACGCCACTGGCCTGGTTCGCATGGTTCAACATGGTCCAATCACAACCAAATGTCGGATCCCAAGATGAAGAGATCCACCAAGTCCCACAGCTCACTGTTGGCAATGGATTGTCCAAAACATGGGGTATGTCCTCCAAACTGCCAATCTAAATCTAAAAAATGTTCATAATCTCCTGGGCTCTCTGTCTCCTTCTCTTTCTCTTTATCTTTCTCTTCCTCTTCCTCTTCCTCTTCCCCTTCCGCTTCCCCTTCCCCTTCCCCTTCCCTTTCCCCTTCCCCTTCCCCTTCCCCTTCCTCTTCCTGTTCCTCTGCCTCTTCCGGTTTCTCTTTCTCTTTCTCTTTTTTTTTTTTCTTTTTCTTTCTCTTTCTCTTTCTCTTTCTCTTTCTCTTTCCCTTTCCCTTTCCCTTTCCCTTTCCCTTTCTCTTTCTCTTTCTCTTTCTCTTTCTCTTTTTTTTTCCTTTCTCTTTCTCTTTTTTTTCTCTGTCTTTTTCTCTGTCTCTTTCTTTGTCTCTCTCTCTCTCCCTCTCACTCACTCACTCACTCACTCTCACTCACTCTCTCTCACTCACACTCACTCACTCACTCACTCACTCTCACTCTCTCTCTCTCTCTCTCTCTCTCTCTCTCTCTCTCTCTCTCTCTCCTCTCCCCCTCTCTCTCCTTTTCACTGTAATTATGTATTTTGGTGCGTCGTATTTTCGTACAGGGCCAGCTGGCCGCTGGGCACCGCCTGCTGAGCCACATCTCGGCACAAAGGCCCAGTGGGGCTCGCAGTAAAATGTGGGGCCACGACGCAACCTGCGACCGAAAATAAGCCGTGGTATGCCGTGGTTCTGCCTGTGAATAAACCAGAAAAGGCACCGTTTCCGGTAAGGTGTGTTTGTGCCCTTGTTTTCCCAGCATCGGTGACAAGTAACGTGATAAACAACACAAACATGGTTTCACTTTACTTTCCATATGGACGCGACGGATGAGATTATGACAAACCACTCAAATTATATGGTTTCAAGGTTTACATCAACAAACTACAAAAGCCTGCACATGCCATCATGCTGGAGCGGAAGCAGAGCCAGGCGAAAATACACAGCATTTCACAGATGACGAAGGGGAAATGTTCGTAGAATGCTGGTTTCAAGTCATAATTCATCAGTGTCGTTTTCAAAAAACGGTCTACCGGGAATACTGCCTGCACAAGTCGCAACGAAGAGACTCGCTAGGACCACAAAACAGCGCCGCAATTTGGCACCGAAACTTCGCTTGCCATGCTGCATTGCAGCTACAAAGCCAAATCGTATATGCGCAGCTTGGGCCAGCCAGGTGCAGTAGTGCGAAGCAGGGTGAGATTCAGGTTGGGATTTGATTCGGAAAGAACAATTCTGAGGGCAGGAAACTGACCACATCCGACCCATGATGAACACAATGCCTGCGCACTTCCACATAACTAAGTCCAACGCGGAGTCACGCAGTCCAGTTCACAAACACGCCATTCTCAAGATTGTGCCTCGCGATTTTGAATCAAAAAACACCTTTCGGCGAAATTTTGCACGAATCAGCTCCTTGAAGGCGGTAGTACACAACAGCCGCCTTGCAACCACAGCTGCAGCATCAGCAAGCAGTTGTGATTTATCGTCGTACCTGAATGTGAATATGTTCCTTCCCAAATTTGAACCAACTTCGGTGCTGAAACAAACTCGAAAGTTATCCCATCCAGGTTGCGAAAGTTCCCGCTGTATCCACATTGATTCGTAGTATATGCCTGCGACAACCTCAGTCAAACCCACGCGGAACGATCACCTCAATTGGGTTCAAAAAAAAAATCCACGAACGAATGTGTTCATGACAGAGAACGATAATTACCCAACTGTTTCCGCTCAGCAAGTGAGAACCGCACGAGCAAAACTATAGTTCCAATGTGCCAAAGCCGTGGACGGAGGAATTCCTCCAATAACATGATGTCCAACCAACACGTGTTCGCACTCAAAAGCCTAGTCGTATGCAATTGCACTGGAAATCTCCTTCATGTTCTCCAAGCTAGGCGCCCAGGCATCCGTGCAGCAGCATTGTAAATTCACTGTTTGCGGGCCCACGTCCTTCAACTGTTTGGGTGCGATTTTGTTTTCCCAACAAATGTTTGCTTTGCACTAGTTTTTTTCCGCCGTGACATGTGCTCCAAACAATGCAAACACCTTACATTGAATCATAGAAGGATATTTTTTTCATTTTGTCAAAGCGGCAATAAGATTGCGTCATGTATTGTCTGGTGTGACCGCATGTAAATTTCCGGTTTCCTCTATCATTCTGCTGGGCACTCAAGCCAAATAAAGTCAAAAGCCTCCCCACTCAAAAGCACAGAATTGCAAACGCAGAACATACGTGTACAACACGTGAATATCACCGATGCTGTGCAATAATGTAAGCACCATCAACACGTTTCAGCATGGCTGCAGATTTCTTTCGTTTGGCCACATCTGGAAAATGAAAAGGTCTGCCCCATACACCTCGGATCACCTCGGCACGATTCAAACTGTTTTAAGGAAATGTTGCAACGGAGCGGGTTCTTTTCACTTCAGTGTTGAAAGCTGCGGTCATGCCCATGCATGTCAGTTGTGCACGTGTTGTGCTATGTCACCACCTAACCGTGAATCACAACACCCCCCCTCAGCGGAAAATTCGGGCGGGAATTTTCGTCTGCCCTACGTGTTTCACGCGGCCGGCCCAAGCCCTTGCGCTCAGCTCAACGTGAGAGCAGGCGGAGGCGGACGAAAGGTAGTGTAGTGGGAGGGGAGTGGTGTCAAAATGCTGCGCCCCTAACATGATACACTAAAAACGTTTTTGCGCAGTCTAAGAGGATTTTATCCAGAGCATGACTGCATGATACGGTGTCTTGTGCAGCGTGAAATGATGCACGAAAAGGGGTTTATCTAAAACGCCTTTCTAAAACCCCTTGCAACAACTGTTAAAGAAGCTACCTTTCGTGACTTCTCCTCACACACCAGTTCCTGCCGGGATCATCCTCATGGCATTGTGCACCTGGTTTTGGTGGCAGTAGAGGCACACCCTGTAGGTCACACCCTGTTCGCCTCCTTCGGCTTGTGTGACCGTGTGCGCTTGGCCGTGGGAATCGTGCCACACATACTAGATCGCTGGGCATACCATAACCTGACAAAAGGAAGGCAGGTGTTCACCCCTTCGGTTTGGTGTAGTCCTTGTAGCATGCTGCGTCTGGAGATTCTGTCGTATGCCCCGATACCATCGATGGATAAGATTCTGTTGGTGGGATTGGCGTGAGTGGCTGTTGTGACTGCATGGGCCACCGCACCATGGTGCCATTGTACGGGCCACTACACGGCGGAGGATATCGCCGACAACCAATCCTCGGACACCACCGGGAGGCTTCTGAAGGGCGACCATGCGTCCCAACCCCATTGCTTTAGCGATGCTTGGTGGCAACTTAGCTTGCCCTAGCTGTTGGCATGTGTTCACGAAGCGGGCTGTGGTGTCCTCATCGTCCAACACGATTCGTGGGGTTTCAGCGCTGTGAGGCCGGAAGGTCCGGGGGCACTGCCCTTCTTTGATTTTCGCAAAGCTGTGATCAATTTCTCCCCAGGGAGGCGAAGCGGTGCTGCCGGCTGGTATTGCAAGAGGTCGTGTGGGAGTTGCTGGTATGGGTCTGGTGGGCGTCTTTGTGGGTCTTGTAGCTGTGCCAAAGTGGCTGCTGTGCCCGGTGCTGTTGGACCGGCAGTCAAGGCCTGGCGCGCAGCTGACAACTCGCCCTGCTGGACCAGGTGCCGTGCTCGTTCCCGGCGTCTGGCATCACTGTTGCTGTTGGTTAGCATGTCTGGGCTGGGCTGTTGCGTGCAAGTGCTGGCCGTTGCGAAGTTGGCCCCAGTTGCCTTGTTGGAAGCTGGCGCCCGCCATGTTGGCTTAGGGAGGTGCCGGGTCCCTGCTTCTCTGTGGGGAAGCATCCGTGGCAACAGGACCCACAATTTCCACGCTCGGGTGGATTTTGCGTCGGTGTCCATTTGGCAAATGCAATCTAAGGCCAGGTACGAAGGCTGGCGGGGTGGCGAGCATAAAGGTTTTCTCCCGCAAAGTGCGCACTATGTCGATCGAATCGAATTGTTGCAAAATTTGTCTGAACTGGCGGTCGGTGAGCCGGGTGGCCGTGGCAGCTGGAGGGTTGGTTGTGGCTGGTGTGTTGTGGGCCCGGTTGTAAGTTTGCTCGGGCTGCCATTGGGGCAGGTTGGGAGGAGCTGGCACTGCTGGATTCTCGGCTGGGGTTGCTGCTAGACGGGCTGCTGCAGGTGCTGCTACTGTTGGTGCTGCTACTGCTGCTACTGCTGTCTGTTCGGAGCATTGCGGGAACGAGAAATCCTGATGCAATTTGCCCTGCAGTCAGCGCGACCGCGTAACCAATCCTTTGGACACAAGCGACTCCAGTCCTTGTTAGGCGAACAAACCCGTTGTGCGTGGAAGCAGGTTTGCGGTATTCAGCTTCGCGAACTGGCCCAGTTGAAGTTTTTTTTGGTTTGGCGAAGTGTCCCCAGCAGGAGGACCGGTTCCCTTTGTGGGTCTTCCACGGTCGCCGCAGTTGCCTCAAAACCGTACATGATCTTCGGATTGATGGGAGACGTATTTGAGAGAAGCATGTCACCATCGCGTGTGCTACAGCGTACACCGGTGAGTTCGCTGGAGCACAACGAAAGTCTGGATTTGAAGGAAGATGCCAATTTAGTTCTTGCACGTTCCTGTTCATCTCGAGTTCCTGGTGCGACAGCTGCCATTTTCTCAGCTGGTGGGCAATGGTCTCCTGAGATGAAGAAGTGATGATCCAGTCAGTTTATTTTTCGATTGAAGGCTCCTGAACCAAAATGATTACGGTGCTTGGATGGCCGAGGTTAATGTGTATGTGTGGACGCATGCCATTTCAATGTTTGGGGAATGTGACAAACGCACGGTATGCCAGTGACCTTTTGTTTTATGCCAAATTTTTCCTAGAATTATATAGTTTGAATGATCGAAACTTTGTGCCAAGAGCTTGACAAAGTGGGATTGCAATTGAATAAAGCCAAGGCCAATTTTTTGCAACATGTCTTGATCATGTGCCGACGTCAGTGAACATCAACCGCGAACCGGTGGAGTACCTGCTGCTAATGTGGTTCACAAATACTTGGGTCAAAATTCCCAAATGATTCGGCCAAACGTGGGTTTGTGGGTTTCCGACATCGAAAAAAAAAATGCGTGGGCTAAATATAACAATTTCAAACCTGTTTCTACCAATGCACATGTTTCAATCAAACTGTGGCTGTGGTTTTTTGATGTATTTTGATGGCTCAAGTGATGGTTCAAGGAAAAATGTGAACTTTGATATGACGTCCAAAACACCAGACAAACCATGTCAAGGAACGGAAGAAGAACTGCAACCAGAAAGTCGGATACAGAACTATCCACCCCTGATGTTTCAATGCATGCTTTGGCTGAGGTTGTGAGAACGGAGGCTCATGAAGCGATCGCGGCGGTGAAAACAAAGTTAAGTTCCACGCAGGCTACGTTGGAAAAAATGTTGTTAGATGTGGAAGGCAAGGTCGACGCACAAAATATCCGGATCGAAACCTTACAAAGGTTCATGGAGAAAATGAACACCGAACCGCGTCGAGCACACCAAGCGGCAATGCTATGATGGAAAACCAAGTTGTTCAGATGCAGACGGAATTGAACCAGATGAAGGCGAAGACCGCATTGCAGACAACAGATTGTTGCAAAACTATGGTTCTGGGCGGGTTTGCTTCCCTCGAGGCTTTGGAGTCAGCAACCACGTGGCTGGAACGTAAATTCGAATCCGCAACATGTTGGAACTTACATGAAAGCCGAAGAATTCAAGGGCTTACTTTTCGTGAAGGTCAACATAAGGGTGAATAGAGACACTGCCGTGGCAATGTTGCGTAGTGCTCGGATTCATGAAGGTGACACAACTGTGTGGGCAACCCAAGACTTACAAGTGCCAATTAGTGTTCGATTTTTTTAAATAGGCATGAGGTGGCAATTGGGACAATGGAGTTTCGAAAAAAAAAATATATATCCAAATTGATGATGAGTAATTACAGCGAAATGAAGGTAGGCAATGAGGTTGTGCTACAGGTGTTTGTGGAAATTGGTTCGTTACACTGCATGGGAAGGATTGCAAAGCAGCTCCGAAGTGCAAGAATTGGGAAAGGACAGCCAAAAACCTTGAGTGACATGGGAAGGGTGCAGGCAAAAACAAGGGCAAGAAGGGGGCAACTGCCTCCTAGGGACAAGTTTCACCATGCCCGTTCGCAAACACCAATTTTTCCAACTTGGAGGTGCATAAACCGGGCCCAGACATTTTGCATGAAAATTCAAGGAATGTTGCACCTTGTACCTTCAGAGTTTTCAGCAAAAATGCTAGGTGCAACAATCGTTTGCAAGAATTGGCGGAAAAAGTTGTTGTACAGACTGGGATGCCATATTGTTTTCAGAGACGCGTAGTGCAAGGTAATGTGACTTTGGCAAGGGGGCACTTGTTGTCGTTGGCGGTGGTTTCAATACACAATTGCATCTTGGTTTTTGTGGAAGTTTGCTAAACGATTTGGTCGACGCTTTCGAATCTTTCGAGTTCCAGATCGCCAATGATGACAACAATCATGATTTTCACATGGACATGTGGACGTTTGAGAGCTCTATGGGTCTATGGACGTCCGGCGGCGAACTGACTTTTTGTTGTTTAGTGTTTGTTTGCCATTGTTATCAGCATGTGCCACTGATTGCATCGACATGGGTTCGGACCATCGTGCCGTGACTGTTTGTTTTCATTTTTTTGCCTGCGCAGAAACGTGATACAAAACAACGATTCAAAATGAACAAGGGTTAAAACCCGAAAAAACAGCCAATGGATTTGAAAAAACATATCAACATTTTGCTCGTACTGCGCTGTGCAACGATAGCCCCGTGACGGTGTCAGACTTGGAACAGTGTGTCCTTGAAGCTGTTGAAAAACATGACCGACTCACAAAACACGCAGAAAAATTTGAAGCATTTTTTTTTCCCTGGAAACGTCCTTCTTGTCCCTGTTCCTTGACCCAAAAATCCTACTGATCTTGTTTCAACTGATAGCATGCAGTTGCTCATCTATCAACATCAAAACACCCATCGGCAGCGCAGCAATTTTTTTGTCAGATCGGGGGAATGTCACAGTTGAGATGTTCGGCATCTCTTCTCTGGCCTGCACACGGGTTTCCAAGCTGTAATTCGAGTCCATCTGATTGGATCGGATGATGAAGCATGGAATTTGTTGGATCGGTTTCCAATCTCCCCCCCCTGTTGGAGAGGGAGGGCGGGAAGAAAAATCTTCGAATTGAAAGTGCATGAAGGTGACGTTGATTTCTGTTGATCATGTTCATGACCAGTTTGCTGAACATTTGTTTGAACAGTTGTGAACATGAACAAAAACATGAAAGGCTTTGTTGCCTTGCTTGCCTTCTCTGATGAAGGACTTTAAACCAAATATCACAAGATGTATAAAATCACTTCAGCTTCAAATGTTTGATGCAACGAAGATTTTTCTCTATATGATTAGACCGTTCTTAACTACAGACCTGTTATTCTTTTACATGGTTCAACTCAAATGCTCACATCTCATGTTATTTGATTCGTCAATACCTCAGTTAGGGATTTTTGGGATATTTCATGTATGTATACATGAAATAAATCAAGTCACAGTTCCAAGAAAGTACTATCCACGTTGTGTAAACGCCCTTCTTGTCCCTGTTCCTTGACCCAAAAATCCTACTGATCTTGTTTCAACTGATAGCATGCAGTTGCTCATCTATCAACATCAAAACACCCATCGGCAGCGCAGCAATCTTTTTGTCAGATCGGGGGAATGTCACGGTTCAGATGTTCGGCATCTCTTCTCTGGCCTGTACACGGGCTTCCAAGCTGTAATTCGAGTCCATCTGATTGGATCGGATGATGAAGCATGGAATTTGTTGGATCGGTTTCCAATCTCCCCCTTTTTCTCAAACCGGGCCCTTCTGCTTGGGATTCTTTCGATTTGCTGCTGCCTGGGTGAGCCAGGTTGATACTGTTTCAAGGCACGAAAATCCATTCACGAAGGTGGCTCCCCAGCGCTCAGCTGCTGCTCGACCCTCCATGCGCGAGGGCTCGTCAGCTGGGTTGCTTTTGCTAGGGACTCTTTCAACCCACCAGAAAGATGGCAAATGAACCTCTATCGAATAGAAGGCTTTGATCAGATCGTCCATGGTTGGACTATTTGACCTTCCTTTCACAGTGCCCCCTCTGGCGGAATTATTATCTACGAAAAGAAGCACTTTACGATTGTGGAGTTCATGTTTCCATTGCCATCTCACAAGGATCATCGCCAACAGTTCTATTTGGCAGATCAATTGATCTCCTACCAACCCCTTCCACAGGGATAACAATCCTTCCGGCACTTGATCTTGGATGACGAATCGCGAGCCTGACGACTCATCTAGAAGCACCGCACCAAGGCCTCCAAATCCGTCTTCCCACGACCCGTCTGTAAAGATCAGGATGGTTTTTGTGGGGATGGCACGTGGTCTAGTATTTTCCAGCAAGATCAGGACTTCGCAGCACCAGTCCTGTAACGGCTCAGTCAGGGTCTGACCTTTGCCAGCTAAGGAGAAAATTTTGAAACAGCTGTATCTCAATGATCTTCCCGCAAAGTATCCGGTCGCAAAGTTCAGCAACCCATGAATCTCTTGTGCCTCTAGGAGAGACATCTGGCCTGATTGCTGGACCTGCAGCACTTTTGACGCGATCTTCTCGACTCTGCCTTCTTTATTTTTCAAGGTGAGATGTCCTGTTGATTCCAAGTTACTTAGGTCTAAGGTCATACCCAAGACATCGAAGGATGGCGAGAAGGGCTTGCCCTTGGGGCCTGTCCGGTCATGACGCCAGCCTAACAAGTCCAAGAAATCTGACACCAGGTCATCAGTGTCGAGAGACGAACCCTCTGGCGAGAACATGGGGTAATCATCAAAGTACACTGCAGAAGGTACTTTAAGAACTACATTCACTAAGAACCAAATGGATCTGCTCACCCTGTTGAATGCGTACACTGCGGCTGTGGAGCCAAACATAAGGGCATTAGGGACATAGTACTTAGGTCTGCCTTGGGAATCTCTGAAAAACACAACAGCCAGGTCCCTGTGCTCGGGCCTGATGGGAAGCTGCTTGTAGGCCTTTGAGAGATCGAGGGTTTTTCCAACCCAGTTCAGTCCCTTGTGTTTGCCCAGTTCTAGTGCCATGGCCACAACGTAATCCGCATCCTGTAGGTCCAACCTGATGGCGGATGTGTACGCCGAATTGAGTTGAGCTTCTAATCCATCATCTATCGGCCTCAGCTTGGCTCCCTGTTCGATCACGAACCTCCTCATGATTCTCCAGTTGGAGTGTCCCAACAGGTTGGTGACCTCTTCGGCGGAGGTGAAAGGGCCTTCTAGGAAATCCAAATCTACCTCCTCTTGAGCCGTGGATTCCAAGTGCTCGGAGAGTCCGTCTGCGGCTTTCTTGCCTCGAGAGCCAATCTGGATGGCATTGCCGAGTCTCGGAGTTCCTCCTCTGTGGTAGAGGCTAGTAGCTTGAGCTTCATAGCATAACAAGAGGGGTGATCATGGGTTCCTACAAGGGGGACCCCTTCCTTCATGAAGTGGACTACCTTCATGTCGTCATAATTGTTTAGTTCAAGAAGTTTTTCCCACAACAAGATCTTCTTGTCTTGAACTACTTTTTGAATCGAAGTCGGGAGGCCCTCATGGAGTTCTTTTTCTTGACTTTCCAACTGTCTGGCCAGAATTTTTGCCTTTAACAGGTTCTTTTTTCTCTCTATGGACACCAGTTTCACCGGGCTCTTGGCAACAAACTCTGTGGCGTCCTTTGTAATTTTGTGCAAGGCATTCTCTTCCATCGGGTGCGGAGAGTGCTGAGCTTTGTTTACAAATTGTTCCGGAGTGTGCCAAGTCCCCACAAGAATGTCTTCTGTGGTCATCTGTGGTTGATCACCTTCTTGGTATTCCCCGCTATTGGAAGAAGGGATCAATTTCTGGATGTTTGAAATTTTGTGGGTTTTTGGATACCAGGCTGTCGTAGAAAACTCAGGGATGAGTTGGCTTCTTTTCTTATGCTGGCGATGTTGAACCGCCAGGGTCTTGATTCTTGGATTAGGGGGTGGTCTAAAGATCAAGTTACGTTGCATAAGAAAGTTTTTAACAGCTGTGGCAACCCGGCGTGTCAACAACTCCGGGTAGGCTGCTTCGGCGGCAGTATCAAATGACCAGCTGCCGTTTGTTTGTTGGACCTGATACGGCAGGTGTTCATGGTCATCTGCACAGGTTGCTGCGAGAGTTGCGAAAACTCCTGGAGTGGATTTCCACCGGGTGCCTTTCTTGCGCTGACCCCCGTGGCAGCAATTGTGAAAGAAAACTTCGGAGAGTGAGTCCCAAAATTTGATTTTTTTTCCTCGAGTTTGGCCGATGTCGCGCTAAAGGCTCGGTCCTTACATGAGCATAAGCTGTGTGAAATACGTTTGTACAAGGACAGGAAATGTCCATCTGAGCAGGCAATTCGAAACAAACAAAACAAAAACCACAGAAAACCACGAACACGACGACCCGCAAATCCCCCAGCCAGACTTGCGTTTCGCCAGAGGAAACAGCGAAGCAAACAACAGAAAACCAAAACCAACAAAAACGGGGCCAGAGCCCAACAAGAACACCCACAATTCGATTTGCCAAGGGACACAGTGGCTTGTCCACTGCATCACGCTCAAAAGCATGCTAATGAATTCAGGACCACGGCATTCGAGCAAACATGAAGGTCAAGACAGCTTGTGTGTCTACCCAGGCATAGTGTGCCAACTGTACAATAACACGGGGCTACAACATATGCCTCTCTCAGCGTACTCTCAGATCAGCTTGTCCAGAGAAACTCCAAAGACAGAGTCATCACCATATATATCGACCGTGAGCAGGAAGCCGTGGTGGACAAAGAGCCAGGTCCCCCCCCAGCAGGGGGGGCGGACAAAGATGGCACACAGGAAGCATCACAGGCCAGGGAAAAACTTCCAAAATACCATCGCAAATGTCCAGCATACCCCTAGTTGCATAGGGGAAAAATGCAACCTGCAAATTGGTTGATCTCAGCCAGCGAGGCTCCTAGGCAGTACTCGCAAAGATGAGAGACATGCAATAATGTAGTCGTTGTGCAGATAGGGTGAAGCCACTTGGCAGTGACACCCCACTCAGACAGCAAAAAAGGTGCCGAAAGGTAGCATGGCTGTATCCACTAGTTCCGCCAGACCAGTGCTATCTTCGGCAACATTGCTTATCGTTGGTGTAGGTTCGCAGAACATGCAGACCACAGAACTGTTCAGGACATTTCAGGATGTCATCGTCCCTGAAAAACCTGCAGTGCATTGCAGTAGGCACAGTAGACGATTGTAGCGAGTCCAGATCCGTAATGCCACTCACCCACAGAATAGGCAGGCTGCAGAATCACCACATTCTGTCCACGAACTGACGAACCATGTAGGCAGTCTTATGCTGCTCGCGGGCGCCCCAGGCTGTCCTACAGGGAGCACCACTGGACGCACCAGTGAGACTCACTGCAGCACAGTCTGAGTCATGGCATCGGCCGGCTACCTACCGCCCCTCTCGGATAGATGCAGCCACCCATGTAAACCCAGACAAAGGGCAACCCAAGGAAACTCAGAAGAGACAAACGAATTCAAAACCAATAAAGCGCAAAGCCCCGGCAGGGAGGAAAGAAAAAGGCAGCAAAAGGGGCAAAGCCAAAGCACGGGCCCTAGGGGCGTCAAAACTAATTGGCCGTCCTGAGTAGCCTTAGTGGATAACAAGAAAGCTGTGTCAGTGCCTCTCAAACCACAGACCTTAGTCAGCAACACTGTAAATCAAACAAATTAACAAGAATTTGCACAATCCAATCTAAGCTCCAGACGCTTCGCGCCTAAGTGAGGGCAAGGGAGGGTAACACAAGAAGAGTAGGTCACACCAAACCCAACGCAACACGAAACAACAAGAAACCAACCAACAAGAGCAAGACCAAACGAAACGGCCAGAAACCACGCAACCAGAAGGGGGGTGCCGGGATGGCAGAGGAGGACAGGGGCAGAGAAGGCCGCACATATCACATTAGAATAGCAATAGTGCAGCTTAGCGGAGACCAATGGGGGGACCTGGATCATCATCCTGATGAATACCTCAGTGTGGTCAAACTGGGCATCCTGACAACACCTGCCACATGGTGGAGAGGGTGGTAACAACCCCACACAGGGCTTAAGAGCCTTTGCTGCCATGAGACAAAATGAAGGAAGGACGACAGAGCACAACCACACTCCCAGCACAACGGCAGGGCAACTGAGCCGTCACAGCTGCAACCAGATACCCAGAGGGAGGTACCAGCGTGAAACTGGACCAGGGCGCCACACGGGACCAACCGAGGGGGAAGGGGAGGTAACAACAGGGAGGGGAACCAACAAGAGCCAAAAACCAAGCCAGAAAAAGCGGGACCCTCCCACACCCACGAAGGAGCACAACAGAAACAGCAGAAAACAAGAGACACACAGACGGAAACAACAGACAGAAAACCGAAGAACCCAAAGGGCGAAGCCCCAAAGGGGACGCAAAACCACGAAAGGGACAGAGGGCGGCAGAAACAACGTCGACTTGGACCGCGTAAGAAAAGGGCATGCAGGACGCGGAGGAGCCATAAGAAAGATCCCAACCGGAGCAAAAGGGCCCCACCCGACAAGCCAGGGGGGGCAAAAGAGAAACAGGCAAAAGGCGCAGAGAGCAAAAATGAAAGCGAGCGACCCAGAAAAGCGGGGGGGAGGAGGGAAAGGAAAATCGCTATGTCTGGCTACGTGTGATGTATTCGAGGTGGTGTTGTTTGTCTGCTCGGAGAGTGTCATTCCAGCTGTTCCCAATCGCAAAGGAGACAGGGTTCGCCCTTTCTGCCCCTGCGGCAAGGAGCCGTAGCTCATTGCATTTCGTCTGAAAAGCAACCAGGTCGGTGTCTGGCGCTCTCCTGCGTAGTTTCCTATCAGGGAAGGCTCGCTCTTGCACGTGTTGCCTCAGAGTCGCTTCTGGTAAGTAGTGTGCGGGTCGTTGGAAGAGCACTCTGCTCGCTAACTTCCCGCGGTTGACTTCCCAATGGGTGAACATATGGCGATGTTGTATTTGCTGCTTAAGTTGCGCAGCATACTGGTGGAAACTTTTGGTCGTGTGCCACAACCTCAGGAGGCTATAGTTGGACGGCCACTCAAGTGGACACAGAGTGGCTGCCTGCTTCCACATGGCAGGAGTAAGTCCTTTTGGGGATGGTACAATTACTTCCAGGTTAACTCTTGTGGGTCCAGTGGGTTGCAGGCCCATCATGATGTAGGGTTCTACTACACCCATTGCGTACCCTCGTATGAGTTCCGCAAAGCAATCGGCTGCTTGGAATTCCTCGTCCAACGCAAGATTCAGTCCAGGAGCATTTTTGTCAGTGAACTTAACCGCCTGCAGTACTTGGTCAACCGCCTCTCTCTGTAACCCCTCAAACACCCGATGGGGGCAAGAAAAGGACACCTCCTGTAGGGCCTGGATGACACCTCCTTCTTCACTGAGAAAGCACGGTGCAATCTTGCTGGCCCAGCTAGCCGGAAACCACGCCAGTAAGGCTGAAACCCCGCTGACCAGGTCGACACCGGTGTGTCGCCGACTTTCACAGGGCCACTGGGGGCACGTGCTCGGTTCACATCTGCACTCTCTTTGGCCTCCAATTAGCTCAGAGAGAATTGGACGGAACCAAAACGTGGCATAAAGCAGGCATTCTGTCTCTGGGGTAGCCAGAGATTCTGCTCGTCGAGTGAGCGAGCAGATGTACTGCGCAAGTGTTTCAGCCAGCCGGAGCGTAAAGCTACGGGCTGCATGTGCGAATACCTCCTCAACCAATTGCATTCCTCAGCCACAGTTCAGACGCAATTGACATGAAAAGGCGGGCAAACTTTTCCTGCATGGACGTCAAGGAGATGGTAAGCTTGGCCTGCAGCCACAGGTGTGGAAGGGCACCTAGTTTTCGGGCTGGAAAAAGACGTTGGCTTGAGGCTGAGAACTGTTCATCATGGTGTCCAGCTTGTCAGCTATCGTCGCAGTTAGGTCCCTGAACTGGTGCTGCATGATCAGGATCCCATCCAGATGGGCCATTTCGTTCCTCACGATCACACTGCCGAGCACGGAGGATTCCGCACGGTGCTATGGGAAGTACCCAAAGGCTCCAGAGACCTCATGGCAGCTATCGAGGATGTCGTAGTGTTTCTAAACTACCTTCAAAAGTGCTTTCAGAACCTCAATCAAGGAGCAACAGCGCAACTCCTGGTGATGTGCAATCGTACGGCTATGCACAACCAACTCCTGCAGCATGGTTTTCAGGCAGCTTGGTTTGGAGGACTCAGAATAGCCACCACCTTGTCAGCGGCAACCGCGCGAATAGCAGTGGTGTTCAGACAGGGTGTGGTTTCCTCAGCGGGGGCCGTCGAGGGGCATCACTGGAAGACAAGGAAGACTGTTTTGGGCGAGCCACTGTCGCGCTCACAAGAGCCATTAAACATACGTACATCGTCTCCCCCATTGATATGGCTGGGCTGATTGGGATGGCTCAGACGCTTGCGGTCTATCACTATGGGTACTACACCCTCAAAAATAGACTTGTCCAGTTTCATAAGCCTAAGCGCGTGCCCTCGGACGCAGAAGCGGTCCTTGAGTGGGGACTTAATACACCCTTTATTCACAAGACAAACCGCCCCTTACCATTGCTATGGTAGTGACATTGAATGGAGTGCGATCCCTGAGAAGGTATCGGCTGGTAATTGCACAGAAGTCAAAGCTGCGGCTTACGCAGGAGGTCACTGCAGCATTAGCCTCCCACAGTCGTGACCATCGCTTCACGGCGAGTAGTTTCTTTCCGTGTTCTATTGTTGGGGAATAC